CCTCTGACAGAAGAGAGACCTCCAAGAGAGCTTAGATCATCCAGAGTTGCAGAAATAGAACTCCTGACCCACCTATACTCACGGGGAGATCAGGGCAGAGAGAGAGAGAGGGAGAGAGAGAGGGAGGGAGAGAGAGAGAGAGAGAGAGATTCCACCTGCAACCACTGGAACAGCGATGGGAAGACGGCAATACAGGAAAACTCACCCAGTAATAGAAAGACCAGTATGACACCAACAGAATCAAGGGACTCTCCAACAACTAGACCTGAACACACCAAAGCAGATGAAGCAGAAGAGAACAACTTAAAAAAGTAACCTTCTTTTGTGAGGGGAATATGGGAGTCCATGGATGCCAATATGTAATTTACACAGACAATCTGCCAAATCCTAGCAACAAGGCTGAATTCTCATTCTCAAAAATAGACCAGTGTAGACAGGCCTGATGGTCTACATAGAACCAAACAGAGCCCTACTCATGTCATCATGGACCCTGGTGGAAAATTTCCCCCATCTAGGGATAGATTTAAAATCCTGAACTAGGATGTATCCTTGGTGTACGAAAGGACTTTGAGAGCACATTCCCCTAGGAAGAAGGCTCACTTAGCCTGCACACATGAGGGAGGGCCTGGACCCTACCCCAAATGACTGATTCTAATGACCCCTCCTGGGAGGCCTCGCCCTGTCTGTGGAGTGGTTGGGAAATGGGATGGAAGGTGGGGTAGGGAAGCGGGGGATGGGAGGATGGGAGGATAAGAGGGAGAGGGAACTGGGATCAATGTGTAAAATAAGAAAAAGTAAACTTGAAGAACCCTGAACTGAATAGATCAAGAAATACATCCTGGAGTGGGGATGAAATGATAGACCTCTTCAATTCAAGGTTAGGTTAAATATGCAAACCTTCAAACCAGTGAGTATGCCTGTGTGTGTGTGTGTGTGTGTGTGTGTGTGTGTGTGTGTGTGTTTGTGTGTGTGTGTGTGCATCTGTGGTGGTGTGTAGGTATGTGGGCTTCAATCACAGGGGAATATATGAAGGGAAATAGGTTTCCTCAAATTCAAAGGGAAAAGGAATTTAATCAAAAGACAATGATCAAGATCTGAGCATACTTCAAAAACTTTAGAAAACCACCCTCTCACTCACTACCAAAACCTGGAAAACACTTGATAACAGTGTGTCTGTAGAGGGAGTCACACAAAGAGCCTACACTCAAATCCACCCATGATAGAGATGCCCTTCTGTATATATGTTTCTGTTATTGGCTGATACATAAAACGTTGTTTGACCAATAGAGGAAAGAAAATAGGCAGTCCTAGGAGACTAGAATTCTGGGAAAGGTAGGCAGAGAGATACCTCAAGGGACACCATGTAGCCAAGGAAGGAGTAACAGGTCTAGGCCCTTCTCTGGTAAGACAGGACCATGTGGATATACTTACATTAATAGAAATGGGTTAATAATTAAGTCAGGGCTAGCCTGTATGTAGGCCTCACCATCGACTGACAGTTTAATAATTAACAGAAGTCTTTGTGTGCTTATTTGGGGCTAAGGCAGTGGCAGGACAGGATGGGACAAGACCCTCCACCTACCCAGCCGCTTACACTGAGGTGGATTTGGACAGACTCCACTTCATCCCACCATGAGTTGAACTGTTTCTCAAAGTCCACAGGAGTCGTCCTCAGCTGGGAAAACGCCAGTGGACGTTAAACACAGGTTTAAAGGACTAGACCAGCAGAGTCTATCTGGCTCTGTGGTCAGCCATTGTGGTGCCTGTAGAGTGCCATGGGTGGAGGCCAAGGGGCATCTAACCCATCTATGTTGGGGTCACTGATGATACGTCAGGTGTGACCGTCAGTCCCCTGAGGCAACTTCATCACTTGCAGCTCACCCAACCATGTCAAATGTAGGTGTTCAGATCCATGGAAAAAGCAGGGTCGTTCCAGGATGAGTTTTGGCTTTTGCAACAACAAGGGAACCAGCCTCGAGTGAACTGACTGACTTTTGCTTCACAAGGGTCGCTTTATTTTTGTACAATGTACACCTTAGCAAGTCAGTTTCTCATGCTAAATCCTCTCATCCAAGTCTCCCCCAAGAAGACAAAGGCCAAAGCAGCTCTCAGTCACAGGATCTCTCCGTTTTCTGAGTCCTCCAACAACCACGTTTTGCATAGGTTTGAACCTTTCAGAAAGAATTAAGACAAGATATACACACTTCAAATAGAGGGTCTCCAACCCAGCATAAAAGGTAGCAATGACAAAAGGTGGCTCAAAGCGCAGGTGCTGACGCTCCTGAGTACAAGACAGCTGAAGTGTTCTTTGCTAACTTATGCTACACAACCAAGAGGAAGGAAGCACGTGCTCTCACTGACAATGATGCCTGTGGGATGTAGGTGTGAGTGAGTTCAGGGCAATCAGGGCAACCCTGACTGGTTCAAACAGAAGCAAACATCCATAACTTAACACTGAGCTGAATTAGAACCCAGATGCAGATGGAGAGGACAAGATCAGGCTACAGAAACACATAGAGGCTGCTGACCTGAACAAGGAGGAGCTAATGGGCCCCCAGACTGATAGCTGGGAAGCCAGCATGGGACTGACTCAGACCCCCTGACTAAGGGTCTCAGCCAGAAGGACTGAGCAGTCTAAGGGACCTCAGACAGTGGAGCCAGGATGTATTCCTGGTGCACAAAAGGACCTTGGGAACACATCCCCCATGGAGGAATAACTGCCTCAATCTAGAGACAGGAGAGAAGTCCTAGTCCCTACTTCAAATGACCTGACAGATCTACAGGAGCCCACCTGGATGGCATTGCACTACATATGGAGGGGGGGATGGAAGGGGAGGGTGGTCAGGGTGCATGTGAGAGGGAGAGAGAGAAAGAGGGAGGGAAGGAAGGAGGGAAGGAGGGAGGGAGGGAGGGAGGGAGGGAGGGAGGAAGGGAGAAGGAACTGGGATCGACATGTAAAATTTAAAGAAAAAAATAAATTTAAAAAAAGAAGGGGCCGTTGATTTTAACAGCTAGCAGGTCACAAAAGGAATCAATAAAATCAAATAAAATCAGATGAGTGAGGAGGGAACGAGTAAGAGAGGCTGAGAGACGAGTATGACATGAACCGTCAAAATGTAACACATGTTGATAGGACATTTTCAAACTTTGAAAAATTAATGTTAATCCAAGCGCTTGGTAAGCAGAGAGTTCCAGCCCAACCTGCTCTTCATAACCAGCTCTGGGAGAGGCAAAGCTCCACTGAGAAAGCCTGTCTAAAATCAGCAACAGTAATAATACCATAAGTTAAGTATTAAAAAAAAAAGAAAGAAAGGATGAAATAAATTTAAGGTAAAATCAGAAACTGAACATTGCAGGAGACAGTGGATGTGTCTCAAGGGTGGATGGAGTGTGTGCTCAGAATCCTCCATGCCCTGCCATCATTCCCTGGCTCCAAAAGTGAAGAGAAACAGACGATTTTTACTGAAATCTCTCTCTCTCTCTCTCTTCCACTAGGTGGTGGAACAGATACAAAGATGGAGATGTTTGACAAGTTCCCTGAAGGGCAAGACCATGCCCATGGAGGCCCAGTGCAGTGACTCCATGGACAATGTCAAGACCAAGACACAAGACGATGAAGGCATCCCAAAGGTTCCAACACTGGCTGGCATTTACTGAGGGCACATAGAGGATGGCTAAGTGCTGGCCAACAGCAAAGGCCGGAAAGATTCCCACCTTGAACTTGGCACTGACCTGTACGGTGGCATCACAGAGCCATCCCTTTGCCAGTCTCTCCAGAAGGACAAGTATGACAAAGACATGCTTGCTGCCCACAAGTGCAACTCACACCCATACCTATGCACAGTCAACCACCTTAAGAAGGAGACTGGCCACACCAACAAACTGTACCCCAAGAAAATCAAAAAGGCTGCTAACTTTCGAGGCCCAGGACCACTGAGACCCATGCAATTGTTTTGTTTGTTTGTTTTCCTCCCTGAACAAAAGAGCTAAGGAAAGTGGTGACACTAAGACTGGGCTAGTGACATGGACCAGTGTATAACTGCTGTTGCCAACCTTCAGCCATGACTCTAACCAAGTTATGTAAGGAGGTAACTGCCTTCGGTATTTCTCCTTTGACCTCCATGTGTGTACTGTGACATGTGTGAATGTACACATACAAGAAAAAATATGATTGTAATTTATTATTACTACATAAGTGTACTTTAAAGAAATAACTGAAATTAAATAAATAAGTGTAATTTAAAGTTGTATTGGAATGTATACATATCAAAAGGGAACAAACAACCAGTAAAAGTAGTGCATAAGTGCTTTGTTTGTCCTTTAAAGATGTAGTCATCTGGTGTGCTTGTAAGCCTGAACTCATTACAAATGGTTGTGAGGAACTTTGTGGTTGCTGGGAATTGAACTCAGGACCTCTGGAAGAGCAGCCAGTGCTCTTAACCTCTGAGCCATCTCCCCAGCCCCTAGTGCAGACTTGTCACCCAGCACTTGAGACTATGAGGAAGTGAATTACATTTTCTTACATGCAGATATACACAATGGGATCCTTCAGAGAAACCTGCAAACATTTTGAATATCATGGAAGATTTCACGTAAAAAATGTGAAAAGAAACTGAGCTGTGGTGGCCCACACCTTTAACTCCAGAACTCAGGAGGCAGATGCAGGTGGATCTCTAGGTGAATTAGAGGCCAGCCTGGTCTACAACAGCGAGTTCCAGAACAACTTCCATAGCAATACAGAGAAACCCTGTTTCAAAACAAGACAAAAAGAATGTGAAGAGAAATACAACAAGCCCATGTGAAAATGTGCACTCCTTATGTGTAATATTCATTCATGTCTGCTACCATCTGGTTCTGACAAAGATGAGGACAGATGAGATAGACACTGATGGGATTTTGGAAAGGACATCTATTAAATATTGTAGCAGTCTCCTGCCTGACCTAGTCACAGATTTGGGGAAGTCAGAGCCTGGTGGCAGAGGAGGTCAGTTCCCCTTCCTGTGGGGCTGCTGAAGTACAACCACATCACAGGGAAGGCTCTGCCTCCAGAGGCCACACCCTATGTCTCCTGCCCCTTCAGACAGACTCTGTACTCTGTCCATAGGCACAGTTGCAGCCTCCAGGAGGAGATGCCATGACCTTCACCTTCACAGCCCTGCTCTGTCTGGGTGAGATGTGGGGATGGGGAGGGGATATGGAATCTGGGATTGACGCTGTCCCACAGCCCAGCACTGGTCAGTAGAGAAACCCCAGGGTCTCAGGAGGTTCTGCAGAGTTCAGGACCTTCACAAGCTTCAGGGACAAACCTCTCACAGGGATCTCTCTTCCAGGACTGGCTCTGGGCCTTGGGACACCAGTGCTGGCAGGTGAGTGAGGGTCTGCAGATGTCCTGACATCACTTGTCATCATTCCTGGAGCCGTTCTGGGCAGTGAGGATGGAAGCCACACATGTGTGCTGCTGCCTCTGGGGTGTGGGAGTGTTCAGATCGGGAGCTGCAATCTGAGTATGGATGTCCTGGGTTCTACCTGATCCTTTCCTTGCAGGATCTCTCCATAAGCCTGTCCTAAGAGTACAGCCAGACTCCGTAGTCCCTGAGAAGACGGCAGTGACCTTCTTGTGTGAGGGGACTAATAGAGCCATACAGTACTTCCTGTATACCGATGGGGACACACATTTAACACAGAGAAAGGCTACACTGAATGCTAAGAACAAGGCTGAGTTTGTGATCTCAAAAGTAAGCCAGAATGACGCAGGGCGATACCAATGTTGCTCTCAGATCAGTGAGGGAAGGGCAGAGTGCAGTGACTCCCTGGTGTTGGCAGTGACAGGTGAGAGGACTCACAGGGTCCACAGCCTCAGGGTGGACCACAGGGAAGCGGGACTGTACACAGGGGTGACTGCTCTCACAACCCTGGAGGACAATGGGGCCTGTGAGGACATTTAACTCACTCCTTCTCCACTCCTAGGGGCCTACAGTAAACCGTTCCTGTTGGGCCAGCCCAGCCCTGTGGTGACTGATGGAGGGGAAGTCACCCTCCAGTGTGCCTCAAGTCAACATTACAAATTTGTTCTGACTAAGGAAGGACCACAGAAGCACTCATGGACTCTGAGTTCACAGTATAACCACTATACTGGGCAGTACTACGCCCTTCACTCTGTGGGCCCTGTGACCTCCAGCCAAAGGTGGACATACAGATGCTACAGCTTTGACAGTTACAGGCCAATGGTGTGGTCAGAACCTAGTGAGCCCCTGGAGCTCCTGTTCTCAGGTGAGGAACCCCAGCCTTTCCTTGAATGATGCTAAAATGGCAAAGATGCTGAGGGATCCTTGGTGTGTGCTGTGTGAGGATCCAGGGCTCCTGAGCCCATAGACACAGATAGTGGGAGACAGAGGGACACAAGACTCAGAATCCAAGGCAAAGAGTGGCAGCAAAGCCCAGGAGGTCCAGGACGAGGAGGAGTCTTTCCGGAGCCCCCCATTAATCTAGATCAGCTTAAGTAGCATCAAAAAGAGCTCAGGGCGTTGCACAGAAAAGACAGAGGAAGGGTTGGAGAAGCCTGAGCACTCAGACACCAGGAGAACACGGCCCACAGGATCAACTAAGCAGGGATCACAAGGGCTCAGAGACTGAAGCCACAATCAAGGCACATGCATGGATCTTCCCTGAGCCCTCTGCACACACGATGTGCTGGTTTGTCCTGGGATCTTTTGTTTGTTTGCTTGGTTGGTTGATTTTGTTTTTTAAAGGTTTACTATGTGTCCCTGTCTGCCCTGGAAATCACTCTGTAGACCAGGCTGGTCTGTAACTCACAGGGATCTGCCTCCATTTGCCTCCTGAGTGCTAGGATTAAAGGCATGTGCCACCACTGCCTTACTCATAACTATAGGAGACTGTAGGTCTCTGACTGCAGAGGGGATCTTTCTCCTCCTACCGGGTTGCCTTCTCTGGCCTTAATAGGGTGTTGTCAGTCTCACTGCATGTTATTCTGTCTGTTCCCTTAATATCACTGGGAACCCCACGCTTTTCTGAAAGGAAGCAGGAGCAGTGTATCTGGGGGAGAGGGGAGGTTTGCAGACTGCGGTCAGGGTGCATAGTTTGACAGAAAAATAACTTAAATAGTAAAAAAGTGCTGTCTGCAAGTGTAACTGATTCTTTGCCACTTTGACACAGACCCACCTCCTTCTCTATTTCCTGGCAGGGTCCCTCCACAAACCCACCCTCAGGGCTGAGCCAGGCCCTGTCATCGCCTCAGGAAGATCCATGAACATCTCCTGTCAGGGGGACCCTGGATGCAGAAATGTGTTTTCTGCATAAAGAGGGTACACAGACCACAAACGAGCTTGGGAACAAGTACACACGCTCCATTCCTTCTGTGGCACAGCAACATGCAGGACAGTATCGCTGTTACTGTTACAGCTCAGCTGGCTGGTCAGAGCGCAGTGACACCCTGGAACTGGTGGTGACAGGTGAGGGGACAGTCGAAGTCTCAGCCCCAGGCCCTGCTCTCAGATGTATTCCCTTCTCCCAGCCTAGGCCTGCACAGCACTGTGACTGTGCAATCCCATGTAACTGGCTGCTCCTTCTGTCCTAGGAATGTACAGTGATAACCCCTTCCTGACAGCACTGCCCAGCCCTGTGGTGACCTCAGGAGGAAACATGACTCTGCAGTGCGTCTCAGGAAATGGATATGACAAGTTCGTTCTCACCAAGGAAGATGAGAAATTCTCCAGCTCCCTGGACTCACAATACATATACAAGAAGGGGAACCACCAAGCCACATTCTCTGTGGGCTCTGTGACCCCAGTCCACAGCGGGACATTCCGATGTTATGGTTACTTAAAGGACACCCCACAGTTGTGGTCAGTACCCAGTGACGCCCTGAAAATACACATCTCAGGTGAGTCAGCCACATCATTGGCCAAGTTTTCTTGACAACCTAAACCCAATGCCACAGTTCTACCTCTCTGTGGAGTTGTAGGTAGAGAATGAGTAAATGGAGAGCCTGTGCACTGAGCCAGAGCCTGACACCTTGGGAGAGGAAGTGACATGTTCAGGAAGGTTAAGGGGGCAGATAGGTGTTTGAAAAAGAAAAGAAAAAAAAAATCAGCTCATTAATCACTAGCCTGTCACTTTCCCTCCAGGCCTGTCCAAGAAGCCCTCCCTGCAGACTCAGCAAGGCCACATCCTGGACCCTGGAAAGAGCCTCACCCTGCAGTGTTGCTCAGACATCAACTATGACAGATTTGCTCTGTACAAGGTGGGTGGAACAGACTTCACCCAGCATCATGGCCAGAGGACCCAGGCTGGCCTCTCAGTGGCAAACTTCACACTGGGCTCTGTGAGCAGAACTACCGGTGGCCAGTACAGATGCTATGGTGCACACAACCTCTCCTCTGAGTGGTCAGCCTCCAGTGACCCCCTGGAAATCATGATCACAGGTGAGGAACTAAATAGATTCAGCCTATTGCCTAAGTGCTGCATCAGCTCACTTGGGAGACCTAAGAGCTGATGGCTGGGATGAGGGACTGGGATCTGACAAGAACAGATGCAGAGACGGGAGCAGGAATGAGGGTAAGACAGAGATAACAGAGTCTCAGATGTTCAGAGCTAACACTTGTGAAACCTCAGATCATAACACTGAATGCAGCCTCTCGTTGTCTCTGTCTATTTAGGAGAGATTCCTGCATCTCCTTCCCTCTCAGTGAAGCCAAACTCCACAGTACAGTCTGGAGACAACGTGACCCTGCTGTGTCAGTCAACATACACAGTGGACACTTTCATTCTGTCCAAGGAGGGAGCAGCACACCAACCCCAGCGAATGAAATCAAAGTCCCAAGATCGGGGGTCCCAGGCTGAATTCTCCATGAGTGCTGTGACCTCTGCCCTCTCAGGCACCTACAGGTGCTATGGTTCTCAAGACTCATCTCCCTACCTGCTGTCACATGCCAGTGCCCCTGTGGAGCTCTCTGTCTCAGGAGAGGTGACCCTGAACTCTACAGGTAATTTGAACTCCAAACTCTAGAAGAGCCCTTGGATGGATGGTGTGTGACTAAAAGGACAACAGGAAGGGTTAGTCACAAGGCAACTTCCCTAGTAGAGAACTGGATGCCAACATGGTCCCTCAAGTAATGCCCACTCCATCCTCCATTGCAGTCTAGGTTTGGGGTAGAGCGCACGAGAGTCTTGGGGAGGTTACAGGGCAGATGTAACAGACAGCAGAGTCCAGCAGAGTCAGGTCCCTGGTTAGCGTCTACTCATCACCCTGCTTGTTCTGTGTGCTGGGACATATTAGAGCCTCCTGCCCACCACACTCAAGGCCCTTGACACAGCTGCTAAGTATCAGTCCCCTCAGTGGAGGGAATGGTGTCCATGCCCAGGCTGCCTCACTTGAGCCCACCAGTGCCCTCAGTTCTCTCTCACTTAGCTTGTGAGAGTGGGAGGCAAACAGAGAACCCAAAAGAGAACCCAGAAGCCCAGGACTGACAGGTCGGCATACAGAAGATGGTGTCCAGAGAGGCATCCTTTAGATCAGTGTGGAGGATGGGCAGGTGGGTGTGGTGGAGAGCAGGGATCCCAGACTCTCACCTCCCCATCAGCCTCTAAGGTCCTAAGAACAGGCCTCTCACCTGCATTGAGTCAGGCTATCCCAGAAGGCTATGTAACCATCCTGTTGGATGTGGTACCCGCATGGACCATAGCCAGTTATGGGCTTGATACAGCTACTTCTGGATATGCTGACTTGGACACATCCTTCCCATTCTGGGCTGGCAGCTGTTTCTCTGAGTATGAAGGGGAGAGGCCTAGCCCACATGTGTCAATTTCTTCAGTGAAGGCCTTGGATGGATCCTACTAACAGAGGAGGGCTGCAGAACCTGAGTCCTCAGCAGGTCTGTCCCACCATGGTAGTGATGTGTACAAGGGTGTGGCACAGGACCATGGCAGGGCATTACTGCTGCCTCATTCCAGCTCATGAGGCTCAGCCCAGGTGGAGAGAAAGGAGGTGGAAGTCAGAGTCCCTGGGTTCAACTCCCAGCTCTGCCACTTCCACTCAGGTCATCTGTGGGGATAGAAAAAGAGACAACTCCATGTTGCATGGTTGTGAGGATGGGAGATGATGAGTGCAAAGACCAGCGTGGGTCCATCACCCAGTAGGTGCTTAGGAAAGCGTCAAGAGTCCCTACTCATGGTACTCATGGTGTCACCTGTACCTCAGGCCTGGAAAGGTACCTGAAGGCTCTGATCGGAGTCTCTGTGGCCTTCCTCCTGTTCCTCTTCATCCTCATCTTCCTCCTCCTCCGACGAAAGCATCAGGGAAAGTTCAGGAAGGATGGTGAGTCTGGTGTGGGTGACCGAGGTCTCAGGTGGTGATGGGTTCTAGAAGCACTTGCAGATCTCAGATGAGAAAGTCATGGTCTCAGAACCTGTGCGATGTCAGTGCCTCTATGAGCTTGGCCATGTCCTGGGATGTCTGCTCACTCATCCCTGTTGTAAAGGTCCCTCCCTCCCCTCCTTCCCCCGCACATGCCTGGGGAGCCCCCAGCTGAGACTCCTTTCTTTTGCAGCCCAGAAAGAGACAGAACTGCAACTTCCTGCAGGAGCTATAGAGCCAGTAATCAGACACAGAGGCCGCCAGAAGAGGTAACTCATGACCAGGGGCCTAGACCCCACCTTCCTGACACAACTCACTGCCCCCTGATGTCTCCTTGTCTTTCCAGATCCAACCCAGCTGCTGCCACCCAGGAAGAAAGTCTTTGTGAGATAAAGGGGTCCTGGGGGCAGAGCCTGAGGTCTCTGCACTGCAGGGGTGGTGAAGGGGTTGTGGTGGTGGGGTCTGAGGTCTCTGCACTGCAGGGGTAAAGGGGTCCTGGGGGTGGAGCCTGAGGTCTCTGCACTGCAGGGGTGGTGAAGGGGTCCTGGGGGTGGAGCCTGAGGTCTCTGCACTGCAGGGGTGGTGAAGGGGTCCTGGGGGTGGAGCTTGAGGTCTCTGCACTGCAGGGGTGGTGAAGGGGTTGTGAGGTCTGCTGTTTGGGTCTGAACGTCACACTATGAACACATGGATATCACCACACTCCCTGCTTCTCTGTCCCCACTTGGACGAGGCAGGAAACTAAATGTCTGAGACATTGCTAGACTGGTCAGGAGATACTCTTTTTCTGCTGACAGACGCTTCAGTGGTGGACATGAAACCGCAGGATGGTGTTGAGGTGCACAGTTCGGTGAGGTCCCTGTCCGTGTTTGCTGTTCTAAGAACTAGGGTGGGGTTACTCCAGGCGGCCTTCTTTGTTCTCCCTTGCCTGGCCCTCAACATCCACAGCTGACCACTCCCTTCTGCATCGACCTGCCTCCTGTGTGCTGTCCTCACTCTGTCCTGGGATCTGGGGTCTCATCGCTGCTGTCCACTTTCTGACTCCTTGGCATCTGTCTGGTTGTCATCTGAGGGGGCAGCCCAGATGGAGAAGCCCGCAGAAACATCTAGGGGACCAGCAAATGCAGGCAGCAACTGAAGGAACTTGGGCTGAAACATGTGTGGTTTCGTTCTGTATTTTATTTTGTATGTGGGGGCTTGAGGGTTGCCTGCAAGTGGTCTCTGCACCACACGCCTGCATGATGCTCCCAGAGGCCTGAAGAGAATGTCAGACACCCTGGAACTAGAGTTACAGATGAAAGAAGGTGGCCGTGTGGGTTCTGGGAACCAAACCTGGGTCCTCTGCAATTGCAGTAAGTGCTCTTAACTACAGAGCCATCTTTTCAGACCCCAGAAATGTGTTTTCAGGAAGATGGACTCTGTGGGTACAGCCAAGACAGCAAGTCTTAGAGTTTCAGGACAAGAGGCCAGAACTATAGGAAAGAAGCCCAGGGAGAGCCCATCAGGGACACTGTCATCTAAGCTTGTCACTCTGGCCGTGCTGTGGAAAATTCCCCAAAGTCACAGAGGAACAGGGTGACATTATCTGAACCTCACCACTTGCCTGCTACAGAGGCCACCTGAGGAAGACACCCAGGGAGAGACATATGCCCAGGTGAAAGACCCCAGCCTCAGGAGGGCAGACGCTTCGGCCGTGTCTAGAGAAGACCCAGAAACAAAAGATGAACAAGCAGAAGAGGACAGAGAGACACACACTCAGGTTGGTCCTGTACTCCCTGGGCCTACAGCATCCCACAAAACAAGCATTACCTTCCTCTCATTCTTTCCCACTCCAGGCTGCTGAATCTGAAGAGCCCCAGGATGTGGTCTATGCCCAGCTGTGCAGCAGGTCACTCAGACAGGGAACCCCTGCACCTCCTCCCTCCCAGGCTGGAGAAGCCACAGAGGAGCCCAGTGTGTATGCTGCTCTGGCCGTGGCTCGACCAGGTCCTGTTCCCAATAACAAAGAACAATGACCCTCTGCCATGAGGCCTACAGAGACCTCCGAAGGATTCTGTGAACTTTTGGGAACCTGGCTGCATTTTAACTAACATCATATACTTGGAAATAAAGCACATTTCTCAATAATCAAGTGAGGTAAGAAATTATAAAGAAGGGAATGGCTTTACACTGAGTACTAAATTTAAAGACATCGCTCATCAAAGCCATGAAATGAGAAAATTTTCAGGGATGGTGGCACAGATCCAGAATCCCAACCCATGTGAGTCTGAGGCAGGAGAATTGCCTTTGTTTTGTGGCCATCTTGGGATACCTAGTGAACTTCATGCCAGTCTGGGCTACAGAGTAAGACTCATTTCACACACTAACCACCAAAGGCCAGGGTGAAGGTTCACATCTGAAATCCTTGTACTTTGAAGGCTAGGACAGGTGGATCAAGAAGATGAGGCCATCTTCACCTGCACGGCCTAGGAGTAAGAGGCCATGGAACAAACACAGGTGACAGGGTTTTAAAATAAACAAACAGGCCAGGCATGGTGGTGCGTGCCTTCCATCACAGCACTTACAGGTAGAGACAGGCAGATCTCTGGAGCCAGCTGAGCTAATAGTGAGTTCCAAGACAGCCAAGGCTACATAGAGAAACCTTGTCTGAAGAATAAATAAACTAGGGACAGTGACATGGCTTAGTCAGTAAAGGTACTCATCACCAAGCCTGATACCCTAAGTTCTATCAGCAGCAATAGAGGAAGGATAAAACTCCCACAAATTGTTTTCTGACCACCTAGATCCTTGGTGTCCTACCTACACCCAAGAAGTAAATAAAACAATTTTAAAGATAAACTAATAATTAGAAATGAAAGTTGGTTGTAGTGCTGTATACCCATAATACCAAAAGGGTTGGCCTCCAACTTGGGGTCCTTCTGCCTTGATTCCTGTCATTTAAAACCATATATTCACTTTATTTTCTTAAAAGTTTGTTGTCTTTCTTTTTAATGTGTATGTATGTGTGTGTCTGTGTGACTTTATGCCATGTCTATACAGATGCCCATGTAGGCTACAGTGGACACTGAAGCTAGAGTTATAGGTATTTATGAGCTACATACTGTGGCTGCTGGCAACTGAACTCGGGTCCATAGCAGTGCATGCCCTTAACCACAGACCCACCTCTTCAGCCTCCTACATTTGTTCAAAATGTAATAACAGCAGAACACTATCAACGATTTTATACCAACATGTACATAAAATGGACAAATCCCTTGATGTCAATGAAAGTTATTTTGTTAATAAATACAAAATCTGGGAGGGGAAATTGTGTTCGGTATGTAAAACAAATGAAAACATGTTATTTAAAGGAAAGAAAAAATTAAATACAAAATCTGAGTGATCTCCCACACACTGAACACACTGGCACTAGGAAAGTTCCCCTTTGGAAATTCTATTCCTGGATGGTGGTGATTTTTTTTTTTTTTTTCAAATGTTTTTACATTTGAAATAAAGACATTGTGAAACTAGAGAAAGAGGAAATAACTCAATATAGTTTGTCAAACCAGGAATTATTAACAAAACCTGACAAAGAATATCTAGGAAGAAAGTTCTTTCTCATCAACTTAGATGTGATCTGTTTTTTAAAAAAAATTAATGAACCAACAACCAGGCACCCTCATGAGACTGCTCTAGACTCTGCATATATATACTACATTTGTGTAACTTGGTCTTCTTGGGGGACTTCTAACAGTGGGACCAGGGGCTTTCTAGGACTCTGTTGACTGCTTTCGGGACCCACTCCTCCTCCTGGATTGCCTCATCCAGCCCTGACAGAAGAGGCGGTGCCTGCTCTCCCTGCATCTTGATAGTCCTTGGGAGGCCCTCCATTTTTTGAAGAGAATCAGAGGAGGAGGAGTGGATGGGGCAGGGAACTGAGAGGATAGGAGGGAGAAGCTTTGGGGTGTAAATACAAAACAAATAAAAAACACAAATAAAGTAAAAATACAAAAATAAGGTTCAGTAAACTTTAAGGACATCACAACTAAACTACACTGTTAGTTTGGCTTGGTTCTTTTTTTTTTTTAATATCATTTGTTTCTGTAATACTGGTTTTAAAGACAGGGAGTAGCTTAAAATTTAACAATTGCTGGATCTACCTGGTGACACAGTCCTGATACCACAGTTACTTTCAGAGGCTGGTTGATGCAGGACAATATAAAATGCAAAATCCACTTTAGCTGCAGAGTGAGTTCAACGCCATTCTGGACATTCTGGATGTGAGATCACATCCCAAAACAAAAGGTACAAATAAGGGCTGGAGATGTAGCTCAGTCGTACAGCACTTGCCTGGCAAGGACTGTACACTGGTAGGTTTCTCGGTCCTTTTGCTATCTTTCATTGTTTGATGTACAGCAGACATGATGTACACAGCTGGCGTCATATTTGCTATTTAATCGCTGCTGAGCTTGAATTTAAGATTTATAATTTGAAATTGGGTATATTGGTACTACCACCATCGCTGTTTAGAATTCATTTCCACATATATATATATATGGCTCCATTTGTATCTTTAGCCTCATTGTGTAGTTCCGACAGACCTGAATTGCATATGCCACTGTCCTCAAAGTCAATGGACTTCAGAATGTTGGGTTGAGAGATATCCACAACTATATCCAGTTTAATATTTTCTAGTTCTGTGAAAAAAAATCATTGGAGCTTTCATGGGGACTTCCCTGAGTCTCTACATCATTCTGGTTCATATAGCATCTTCACACCGCTGACACATGAACAGAGAAAACCCATGTTCTGTTGCATCCAGTTTCATGTGTTGTGCATGTGAATGATGTATGCATGTTTGAACATGTGAGTATATGGAGTCTCAGGTCAATGCTGGATGACAAAATCAATGGATCTCCATCTTTTTAGAGGGAAGGTGCAGGGATATAAGATCCAAGATTTCTCATTAAACCCAGAATCCATGAAATTGGGTAGGCTGGGTGGCCATTGAGCTCCAGGGATCTCCCTGTCTCTACCATTCCAGTACTGCAATTTTTGAGAACTTCACACAAAATACTTTTAACATGTTCTTCCCTGACCTCCCCCCTGCAAGCACTGAGCTTTTTTTTTTTTAAATGGGTAACTGGGGAACAGGTTCACATGCTTGCACAGTAACTTTTTGCAGACTGTGTCATCTTTAACTTTTTTCAGTTCAACATTTATGGTAGGTCTTCAACCTCCATGGTTAGGTTTGAGAGGCTTAATTGGCAAATTTTTAATTTCACACTAAGCTATTACGATTGGACTCTCTTGGAATTCTAAATGGGGATGGAAGATCATCTCACCAGCTCTCTAGGGAGGCTCCAGTGTAGGGTGCAGGCAGAATTCCAAATTCCTATTACATTACTGAAATCAGATCCAAGAATAAGAACCTGTTGACAACTACCCACACTCAAGTCCTGACTCCCACCACTGCTCATGCCTACCCCACTGCCACCCACTCTAGAGAAGCTGTGTAGAGGTAAAAAGAATGGGAGTGGACAGGGGATATAAGTGGTTTCTGGTGTTAAGGATGGGAGGAGTCTCATACTGATTATTCTTGGTCAAGTCTGGTTGCTTCTGGTCTGCAAATGTATGCTGGGGAACTTTTGTTCCAGGTCCTTACTTCTGGTGACTAGTTACTTCCACACCCTGTCTTGTACCATGGGGCCAGATATTCAGATGGCTCAAGAGCACCTTTTGGCCTTCTCCCTCTCACTAACCTGTGTGAAACCAACTCCTTGACAATGAGCGCCAACACTATGGCAGCTCCCACCAACCACCCTAGCACTGGTTTCTGCTCAAAGCACTAAAAGCCTGTACTTTGTAGCCCCAGATGTCTTCCTAATACTACAAACTCTTCCACCAGTTTTTCTGTATCATAAGCATTATACATAAATTGTTCCTTCGCAGATACTCCACTATGGTACTAAAGTAGAAAAAAGTAAACCTAAGAACAATCTCCTACAGAAAAACCCCAAGCCCTCAAACTTACCTCCACCCCACATTACTATATTTCCAGGCCACTGGCTGTTATCTATTCATCAGTAATGTGCTCTGATCAGCTCGCTACCTTGAAGGCCCTCAGCAGAATCCAGAGATCCTAAGACTGTGGCCAGTGAATTCTCAGCTCATCTAAGACTGTGGCCAGTGACTTCTCAGCTCATCTGGCTAGAAGCCACTTAATGAGAAGAGCCTGTTTCTTACTGCAACCTAACCCATTAGGGATGGCATTGTTATCTGTGACTTCAGGATAGTGAAGGCATTGCATTGCCTTCAGACTCTTGGCAGGCTATAAAGTCTCACACTGAAGCTGGCCACTTAACTGGCCTGAGAATCCTTTCTCAAGGGCTGAAAACAGCCACAAAGCAGCTGTCTTTGACAGTTGCTTTTTAATTTCAAAGGGGGGGCCTTATTTCCTCAGAGATCAAACCACATCCTATCTGACTCAAGCTTCCCAGAAGACAAAACTAATTTCCTGCTTACCAAAACCGCATCTTGAGAAACAACTTACAAAACAAGCCCAGTAAACAATAACAACCACACCAAGCGCAATTAACACAAAGCATCTGGTCCATCAAGCTTCTCCTCTCCTGGGACAAGTTGTGCAGGAAGCTGGTCTACAGGGACCTTTCCACTACAGTCTGCTCAAAGCAGAGAGGCACACCAATAAACCAAGTGTTAATTCTGTTTTATTACTCAATTAGAAACCTAGACAACTCCAGTCCAGGGAGGCATTAACTTAATCCTCTTCCTCATCATCACCAGCTCCAGCACCACCCTGGCCCTTCTTGGCATTCTTCCTCTTCACTCGGCCTGGGCGTCCACCACCGTAAGGAGAACGGAGGGAGAAATCAATGTGCTTCTGGGAGTCCAGGCGGACAATGAAGGATGGGATGTTCACCACCTGCTTGCGGACCCTGAACGGGAAGAACAGGTTAAAGAGCCAAGATTGAACCATTGGCTGATGGGCACTCCTGATCACACAGACCCAGACGTCTTCCGGGTAAACCACACACATGCTTTATCAGGAGTACTAAGCCTCTCAAACCACCTCAGACAAGAGCACATCTCTGTTCAAAGATGTTGAAGAATCTGAGCCTATACCCTGTGCAGAGCTCACAAGTTACATTTACTCCATCTAGTCTTTGCACCAGTCACTTCAGCCAGGTTATCAACTGGCAAATTAGCAAACAGGAATAAAGCACCAATAAATAACATCGACTCAATCCTCTCCCTCCAAGGAAGGGGACACCAAGAGCTATTACCTGTCCAGCTGCTTGTATGCCTGGCAGAGAACTTCGCAAGGTGTACGGCTTGAGCCGCAGTGACGCTTGCGCTGGGCTATGGGGAGACAAGGCTGTGCCCAATTCCCCCACATAAGCTTTCACTCTCTGAACCCTCAGGGTAAGCCCAGATTTGTCAGCTCCAAAGGCTACACAGAAGATAGGGACGCAGCAACTTAGCAAAGGAAACCAACAATGCAGGCAGGGAAAATAAAGTAAGGCTCGAATCACAGGCCGGGGGTATAGCTTACCTGATGTGACGCTGGCGGATGAGCACACGTGCGTGATGGATAGATTTAGCCAGGCCCAGCTTAAAGACCTGGGTCTGCAGCCGCCTCTCCAGGAAATCCTCAATCTTCAGGCCCAGGATATAATCCAGCTTCATCTTGCCCTCATCCAGCACCCCAATTCGAACAAGTCTCCTCAGGAGAGCATTGCCTGGGGATGGGAAGAGTGTAACCCAAATTCGGCCTGATCTCAGCCCCAGCAAGGCAGGTCATACTACAGCTTTCACCCATGTTATCAAGTACAGGAATAAGCACCAGCAATGTGCCTTCCTTTCTTCTAAGAGCTCCTGGTTTTGACACTAACATGGCCACTGGATCCCCCTTTCCACAACAGGCATTAAACCACTGGTTTACAGCTTTTCATTCAACCTTCATCACTATGATGACAACATAACTTTTATTTTGAGCTTAAGATAACAGGCTGCTTTCACAAGAATCACAGTACTTGGGGAAACTATGGCAGTTATCAAAAAGCTAATTAATCTAGACTACACAGCACCATGCCAACATATATAAAAATGCACATCTAATCTCCCAGAAAGCTAATCTGTGAAGGCCCCAGAAACCCTAAGCTTAAAAAAATCCAACCAAAGAAAAACATGCACCATTTTATTCCAGCATCCTAAAATAGACTCAAATTCTGATGTTCTATAAAATTCAGTATTAAGACAGAAACTCAAGTGCACACTGATAAATCTAAGACAAAAAGGGCACATCCTACCATTAAACTGTCATTTGGCCTCCATTTGACCAAAGCTGACCAAGAACTCCTTGTGGCACAAACCGGCATTAAAGCGTTAGGTTTTTAATCGAACAGCAACCAAGAGACGAGACCTTTCTTGGCAGTGACTACCACATGGGAAAGTCTACATCTGTCTCCAGGCAGTGCCGACTCCAAACTCCAGGCTTTTTCCCCCTGGGAGGTTGCCTTGACAATTTTCACTTCTGCTCAAGAAAGTTCATTCTCATATACCCGCAGCTCCCACTCTGCAACGGCCAACTCCAGAGCGTCAATCAATCTGCTTCTGAAAATTGCCCTAAGCAAACCCAACAAACACTCCCCTGGAAGACTCCAGGCCGGACCGACCCACATCTGAGCCGGAGATCAATCTTCACCAACCACTCCCCACCAGCCTCTTATCTCCCAGGAACACAACGCACGTGGCCTAGTAAAAACTCAGCATCCCCACACAAACCTTCAAAAAGACGCCGCGGGTCCTTTTCGTCCAGCGTCAGCAGCTCGCGGGCGGCCTTGCGGATCTTGGCCAGGGTAAATTTGACCCTCCACACCTCACGTTTGTTCCGGAGCCCATATTCTCCTGCACATGGGTGGGTGGGGAGAAGGCGACTTCAGAACACAAGCCTCAGCGGCGATGGCGCCCAGGGCGAGCACGTGCGTGGGAAGAGCGACCCCACAACTACCTAACTCATCCCCGACCCCCACCCACACCCCAGCCCCAAACCTGGCCACTCACCGATCAGCTTCAGCTCCTGATCGAGACGCGACTTCTCGAAGGGTCTCCGTGGGGTCACATAGGTTTTGCGACAAACCCAGCTCCTAGCGACCGGCATGCTGGCGTCTCAGGGCCCGCCGCGCCTGCGCAAAAGGGTCGGGTTTTCTTGGGGGGGGGAAATCGTCGTGGCGCATGCGCAGAAGCCCGCCTAGCACACGTACCGCGCGGCTGGGCTCTCAGGAGATTTGGGACCGACTGAGGCCGTGCCGCCACGGTGCTGTGCTAGAAAACGCCCAAACACCTCCCTCCCGCCCCTCCTCCCTCGCGTGCACGGCTCCGCTAAGCCTCACGCCGTTAGCCGGCCCGCCAAAGCCAGGCGGAACGCACCAGCGGCGGAGAGCACCTACCGACTCAACCTAACGCCAGGGACAGAGAGAGGCGCGGCCGCCGGCTCCGGGCCTTATAGCGGCGTCGCCTGGCCGTGACGTCACCGCGCACGGCTCGCGGCGCCGCCAATCAGAAGCGGGAGAGCGATAGAGAGGAGACGATGGGCTAGAGCGGCGCCGCGCTGGGCGCACTTGCCCACGCCGGTGCTCAGGCGGCCGGAGGGCCCAGGTGACGTTCTTGTTTAGATCCCAGGATGAACGCACACCGCCGCTGCTAGGGCAGAGACACAGAGTAACTGCAGTTGCCATTTTTTTTGCTGCTTTAACACAGACCCTTGAGGAAAGCTTACAGGAAATCCAGGGCAGACCCACCACCACTGTCTCAGTCTTCTGTCTCGGCTTTACAAATGCTACTACCTAGCATTTTAGGTCTGGGCTTGTAATATTGAAATATGCATGCTGTGCCTGTTCGGTTTTTGTCAGCTTGACACACACCTAGAGCAAATCTGGAAGGAGTAACTCTTAGGTAAGAAAATGCCCCCCATCACCTTGGCCTGTGTCTCCTGTTGTGTTTATTGTTTTTGAGAGTTTCCCATCATATGACCATGAACCCCTGATCCTCCGGCATATGATTCCCAAGTGCTGGCATTACAACCCATTTTTCTTGCAGATAGTTCTTTTGTCCTTTGGTTGGGGCCCCCCACTCCCCCCTGCCGAGACCGGTCTTTCTGCTTAGTCCATGCTGTTCTGGACCTGGCAATGTAGATAGATCAGCCAGGCCTGGAACTCAGAGATCCACCTGTTTCTGCTTTCCAAGGGCTAGGATTAAAGGCATGCACCACTACACGGGCTTTACTTATTTTTGAGGGGAAACAGGCCTGAAACTATGTAGACAGGCCGGCCTCATAGGTATGACGTTCCTGCCTCTGTCCCTGAGTAGCTAAGAGGACAGGCCTAGATCAGGTATTCTTTCCTTGTATTTTAACCAGTTTGACTGGCAGGAATTTACATTTATATGCTCAGAAGGCAAGGATCTTGTGCATTTAGTCTGGGAGGACAGAGTGAGGGGAGGGACAGGACAGGTAGGGACAGGAAAACTAGCTTACTTTGTGTCAAATACTTAATTTTTATAATTTTACATGTATTGGTATTTTGCCTGTATATACGTCTGTGTGAGGGTGTCAAATCCCTTGGAACCAGAGTTAGAGACAGTTGTGAGCTGCCATGTGAGTGCTGGGAATTGAACTTGGGCCCTCTGGAAGAGCAACCAGGGCTTTTAAGGGCTGAGTCATCTCTCCAGTTCCAATTTTTAACTTTTAAAAATGATTTAATGTGCACAGTTGGTTTGCCTGCATATACACACATCCCATTCGTGCATTAGCGCCTCCAAAGGCCAGAAGAGGTTGAATGCCCAGAACCTGGACTTAAGAGAAGGTTGAGCCATATATATGCTGTGAACCAAACCCAATAACACCTAGTACTCTTAACCATCTCTCCAACCCTTATTTATGTGAGACAGACCTCGATTGCCTGGAACTTGCTATGTAGACCAGGCTAGTCTTGAACTCCTACCTCTCTCAGCTGAGCACACACCCAGCTTTGTTTGTAATTATGTGTATGTGTGAGTATATATGCACCTGAGTGCAGTTGCCTGTGGAGGACAGAGTTACAGGCACTTGTGATCTGTCCTATGTGGGTGTTGGGAAGTGAACTTAAGTTCTTTGGAGAAGCTCAACTACTGAGCCACCTCTATAGCCCCAAAGGTGTAGCCCAAGGGGGCTTCAAACTCATGATCCTCCTGCCTTTGCCTCTTCAGCAGATCTTGCTGGACTGGTACACACCATCACAACCAGCTCATGAAAATTTTCAGTTATAACCTTTATATGCATATGAAGTAGTCTATAGAAATCTCGAGGGGACCAGTGAGATGATTCAGAGTTAAAGGTACTTGATGTCAGGGCTGTTAACCCTGACACCCACATGATCAAAAGAAGAGAACAGGCACTCTTTTCGAGACAGGGTTTCTCTGTTTAACATCTCTGGCTGTCCTGGAACTCACTTTGTAGACCAAGCTGGCCTCAAATTCACATAGATCCACCTGCCTCTGCCTCCCAAGTGTTGGGGTTAAAGACGTGTACCACCACCAAAGGGCAAGAACAGGCACTCTTACATTGTCTTCTGACCTCCACATATGCCCATGGCACATTCAGGCCCACATACATATGCATGTATACATACAATAAATAAGCATAATTTAAAAAAAAAATGTCCAAGGCACAACTTAGTGGGATGCAAAGAGGCAGACGCCTGAATCAGAAAGACCAAGTATAAAGCCCCAGGCCTGGTAGTTATTAGTTTTGTGACCCTGGGCAAGCCATTTCCTCTTCCCTTTTCTCATCTGAATATAGGAATAAAAGTTCCATATTCTAAAGGTTGTTGTCAGGACTCAAAATACATTTATTCAACAAATTTACTGAGAACTGCCATGTAGGAAACAGAAAAGCCAAATAAAATAAGAGCAGTCTCAACTCTGAACAAGCTCACAGTTTGGAAACAGAAAATACAAAACAACACAGGAAAACAGCCTTCAAACAGGAAAACAAAAAAGCTAAAAAGGATGTAGTGTTCAAAACTGTGGAATCAGGCAGGGCGGGAGAACACAAGCCTTCATGTAGACAAGCTGGGGTGACCATCCAGGAAGGTTCTTACAGCCCACAGCCACACCCCGCTCAGCCAGCAGCTCACTGCAGGCTGGCCCACTGTAGGGAGGTGTAGACCACCTTCCCATCAGGCTGAGGGGAGCAGAGAAGCAGGGTCTTCCTGACACTGGTTCCCAGGCGGCCGGCAGAGACCAGGTCCTGGAGAGGGATGGGGTCTTCAGCAGCCCAGCACTGAGCAATGTAGTGAGCGTGGAAACGCAGCGGGTCACCTGCGGGAAAGAGACATGTAAGGTTCCCACCTGCAGGGGCTGGGGCTGGGGCACTGACTGACATTTCATCCTTCGGCTTATTTTATTGCACATTTGATTCCTTTGCAGTGCTAGGTGTGGAAGCCAGGGCCTTGTGTAGGTTAGGTACTCTACCGCTCTCTTTTTAATCTATTTATTTGAAGGGTATGAGTGTGTGCTTGCTTGCATGTATATGTGTACCATGTGTGCTTGGTGTGTGCATAGCCAGGAGAGGGCACTAGGTCCCATAGCACTGGGGTTATAGGTGGTTGTGAGTCAGTACGTGAGTGCTTGTGTCCTGTGCAAGAACACATTTGAGGCATCTCTCTAGCTCCCTCTTTGTACTTTTGGAGACAGGGTTTACACTACACGTACTAGTCTTGAACTTGCCCTATGGTCCACACTCACCCTAACCCTGGCATTCTCATCCTCCTGTCTTAGCTTTCAGAGTAGCTGGGATCAGGAGTTACACAGACATTTTCAGCACACATTGAATATTTTGAAACACATACCCTTGTACCCAGCTACTCTACTTTTTTTTTTTTTTTTTGACACGTGGTCTCTCTATATACATATAACTCTGGCTGTTCTGGCTGTGGAACTCACTATAAAGACCAAGGCAGCCTCAAACCAACAGAAATCTGCCTGCCTCTGTCTCCTGAGTGCTGGGAATGAAAGGTGGCATGCAACACCACACCTGGTACAACTACTCTGAAGGATCTTCTCTCTCTCTCTTTTTTTAAAGATTCATTTATTTATTATGGATACAACATTCTGCCTCATGTATGTCTGCAGGCCAGGAGAGAGCACCAGATCTTATTACAGATGGCTGTGAGCCACCATGTGGTTGCTGGGAATTGAACTCAGGACCTCTAGAAGAACAGCGAGTGCTCTTAACCTCTGAGCCATCTCTCCAGCCCCAGACCTTCTCTTTTTATCTATCCACTTTCTCTATTTTTGTTTGTTTGCTTGTTTGAGACAGCTGTTTCATGTGGTCCAGGTTGGTTTTGATGGCCCCAAATGGCTTCACGATTGCCAGAAACAAAATAGAAAGCATAGAATGGGGGTCTGGAGAGATGGCTCAGTGGTTAAGAGCACTGGCTGCTCTTCCAGAGGACCTAGGTTCAATTCCCAGCACCCACATGGCATTCCACAAGTGTCTGTAACTCCGGTTTCAGGGGACCTGACACCTTCATACCCATGAATATACAATAAAGTTAAATTAAAAAGAGAGAGGGAGAGAGAAAGCAAAAATATGACTACCTCTGTGGTACAAGATACATGTATAAGAATAAACAATACACAACTATCATGATTAAAAGATATGATAAGACAAGCTTGTAACCTCAGGCAATTAAGAGGCGTAGGCAAGGGGACTTCTTGAGCTTAGGAGTTCACAAAGGCAACCTGGGCACCATACAGACATTTTACCATGCAGAAGGAAAACCAGGATTAAAAGATAAGCCACAGTGCTGGTATGTAGCTCATTAGTAGACCACTTATGGATCCTTAGCACCACAGCTATTAAACAAAAACAGAACCTATTTGAGACTTTAGTAGGCTAAACAGGAAAAGATTTTATACCAGGATAGAACAAAAATTAAAAGTCTCATACTAATCCCGGCACTCAGGAGGCAGAGGCAGGTGGATCTCTTTGAGTTCCAGGCCAACCTGGTCTACAGAGCGAGTTCTAAGACAGCCAAAGTTACACAGTAAAACCCTGTCTAGGGGGAAAAAAAAAAAACATACATACAACTAAACTGTCAATAGACCTCTAGTCGCCTCCCTCCACCCCCCCCCCCTTGATGGCTTTAGTTACTGAACAGCTGACAGACAGTCTGCCCCTGGGATAGGTGGAATCTGAAGACGACTGTACCAGAGGTTGAGTCACAGGCAAGGGAAATTGAAAACGGAGAGCCGGAGAGAAGGCCTTCCACTCTTCCAGAGGACCCCAGCTCAGTTCCCAGCATTCACACTGAACTCACAGCGGCATGTAACTCCAGCTCCAGGAGAACCCAATGTCATCTTCCAGTCTCCCTGTGCAGCCACACACATGCACACATACCAATGCAAAAAAAAAAAAAAAAAAAAAAAAAAACATCTTGAAAGGGGGTTGGGGATGAGAATCTAAACCATGAGATCGTGTGGCATTCTAGGAGATTGTTGCTATGCCCCTGCCTGGCAGCTGGGTCCCTGGCAAGAGGCTCCCTCCCCAGAAACGACAGCCTCTGGCTGTTAAAAGGCTGCAGCCAGCTGAGAGGAACACATCAAAATGCTTGAGAAACTAATCCTGTAACTGTTTTCCTGGCGGCTTAGCAACTTTGAGCCTCAGGCAAAATTTAAAAATAAACTTAGAATCCTTACAGTGATTGAGGCTCTGGACACAATTTCACAGGAGACAAGGACTGTACTAGGTGTTTTAGAAATATTGACATAGCAGAACTAATTGGTCAGTGCCAGACCTGAATGCTCATGCGTTTTAATCACCCCCACCACCCTCCTGTTTGAGGCCAGCCAGGAAAGAAGAGAGGCAGGAAAAGAACAAAAAGTTTAGCTTGCAGTTCAATTCAATGTGTAGAATTAAGAGCTGGATGTGGTGGCACACATTTTTGTCAATCCTAGCTCTTAGGAGGCCTAGGCAAGAAGATTGCTTCCAACTGTGTCATGTGGTAAGCTGGACACCAGGTTGGGACTCAATAGTGAGACTTTGCATTAAAAAAAAAAGTCAAAAGTCGAGGGCTGGAGAGATGGCTCAGAGGTTAAGAGCACTGCCTGCTCTTCCAGAAGTCCTGAATTCAATTCCCAGCACACACACACACACACACACACACACACACACACACACACAAAGCCCTGGTATGGTAGCAGATGCCTTTGACTGCCAGCACGCTGGAGACAGACAGGCAAATCTCTGTGAATCTGAGGCTACTCAGGGTTACATAGTAGAACTTATCTTTAAAAATTGTAAAAATGCCAAGCACTGTGATACAAGCCTCTTTAATCTGAGCACTTGGGAGGCAGGCTCTATGAGTTCGTTTACTCTTGTCTACATTGCCAGTTTTAGGCCAGCCAGAGCTATACACCAAAGCTCCTGTCTCAAAAATAAACAAGCAGGTAAGGTATAGGATTAGTAGGTAATTAACTGCTTTAAACTAGTTATTTTAAGCTGCAGTAGTTTTGTCCAGGCCCAAGAAATTCTGGTGCACTTTCTTAAGTAGCCAGGGATACTCAGACCTAGTTAGAATTTCGATGATCAAGTTATATAGTAAGCATGCGCCTGCATATCCATACCAACATATAATCTTCCCCATATTGTATTTTTCACATACATGACCCTACTTTTTTTTTTTTCCTGCCAGGGTCTTGATACCTAGTCCTGACTGGCCTGAAGTCACTATGCAGCCTATACAAGGTCTCAAATTTGAGGTAATCTTCCTGCTTCACACTCTCAAGTGCTAAGTAAGATTACAGGTATAGCTATCACATCCCATTTTTTTTTTTCCTTTGTTGAGATGGGGTATCATGTAGCCAAAACTAATCTCAAACTGGCTATGACTGCACTTATCATTAGAGACATGTACCATCATACCCAACTACAGTCCTACACATTAACACTTTGACAGTTAATACTATGTTTCTCAGACAACTAGTTTTTAGGTTTTTTTGGTTTCTGTTTTTCTTGTTTTGAGACTGTCTCCTGGCTGGCCTGTAACTCAGATTTACACTTGCCTCTGCCTCCCCAGTGCTGTGATTAAAAGAAGGGGCCACCTTTCTCGGTCTTAATTGCTGTTTTGTTTCTAACTCATCAGGGCTTTGTTGCTTTTAATCTTTCAGTTCTACAAAGAAACCTGCAGTGCATGTGCTCATGTTCTGTGCACATGGTAAGGATCTCTAAGTCAATCTTTCAGATCCAAACAGTATTTATGAGAAATTACTTAAACCAAGGCGGCTGTTAACACAAGCCTTTACTCCCAGCACCTGAGAAAGTAGAGAAGGAAAGACTTTGCATTCCAAGGCTAGCTTGTACAACACAGCAAATTCCAAGCTAGTCTTGGCGACGTGATGAGACCCTGTCTCAAAACAAGTTAGACCGCCCCCAGTATTTGCTGTCCTTCTCTGGGTCCCCAGGGCCCAGAGGTGACACCAAAGACAAAATGCAGAACGAATAAAAGACCACCAGGAAAGAAAGGTATAGCCACTAGAGCCCCAACCCGAACTCACCAGGATAGACCAGGAAGTCACCACCAAACTTCCCAGCTGCGCTGAGGAAGAAGCCTCTCTCCCACAGGTCTCTGTAGATGCTGTAGCGCAGCTCATGGGCAGGTCGGCCAGCATGGGGCCAGTCTTTGGACTGCACACGCCAATCCAGGGGCTTAGCCTTTACAGGCCGAGGCCTAGCAGTGGCCAGCTGGATGAGCAGGGCTGACCTGGGCAAGGGGGTCACCCCGTTTGAAGGCCCTGGTTGGGCAGATGAAGAGTCTGAGGTGGATGAAGAGTCTGGAGAAGGCGCAGAGAAGAATTTACTGAATCCACAAGGCAAAGACTCCTTGTCTCCAGAAAGATCCAACTAAAAACCTTCCCAAAGCTTCGGTCCCTCCTGCCCCAAATCTGAACTCCAAACCCTACCTTCACCTGCTGCTCCCTCCTGCTCCGCATTAGCCTGGCCATCACCACCAGCCTCACTCCCTTGGGCAGCTGCGCTTCCACTGGCTTCTTGGCCTTCATCTGCCCCTGAATCCTGTTCCAGCTTCGGCTTCTTGGCAGCCTGGCCCTCTGCGATCTTCTCTAGGTGCTCCTGACGCCGGGTCTCACGGGCCTCGGCTGCCAGAGTGCTCTGCTCCTGGAAACTCTGCTCTTGCTGGCGTTTGAACGACGCTAAGGCCTGAGAAGCAAACTCAGCTGGAACCCCAAGCAAGACATAGCCTGCGATCCCCCAGGAAAACAGGAATTCTGGCCCTGTCTACAACCTTCCAGAACAGGCCCTCCCAGGCCTTCCCACCACAAGGGCCTTTCGCTTCTTACCAAGCCATGGTTGCGGGGATCAGGGCGCGGGGCGCTGACCAGCGTCACGGCGCCTATCTCGGCCAGGAGCCTTGCTTCCTCGGGTAACAGCAGAAGCGGGAGGCCCAGGCGCGAGTTCTGGCGGGGCCCGCGGGGCAGGGCGCCCACCGTGCGGCCCCCGACTCCCAGGCGCTCCCGCAGCGCCTGCACCGCCTCAGCTCCCCACACCAGCGAGCGGCCATTAGCAACCTCCACCACCAGCATCCTCCTGCAAAGTGTGTGTGGGGTGGGGGTCCGTCACCGAAAAAGCCCCACGGACCCGACCGAAGCCTTCCGCGACCCCAGCGCAAGCAAGGCCCCGCCCCTGGACCCGAGCGGGGCGGGATGAGGCGGGAGAGGGAGGACAGGAGGGAGGCAATGCCACCTGCGCCCCAGGCCGAGCCCCACCCGGAAGGACTGCTGGAGACCACGCCCCTCGCCCAGGTCCCACTGCTCTGCTCCCGCGCAGATCCCGGCGACCATCAATCATCCCCGCAAACGCGTGCCACCGCGTCACGTCTCCTCTCCTCCAGAGACCTCCCGCCCCTTTGCGCAAAGTGGGTGTCTCCCTTCGGGCGTGCCCGTCAGGCCCCTCGGAACGTGGAGCGGCAGCTCGCCCCCCCCACACAACCCTCTCCTAGAAACTGGGGACCCGGCCGCTCCCATTTCGAATTTCCGAGGCTAGTCTTTGCCGCCCGTTCGCCTAAGCCGGACTTTAAAGAAAACCGGATCGTCTTTTCTTTGCGCAAGAGGTTCGACGTCCCTGCATCCCCGGCCCGGCTCACCCCACCCCACCCCACCGCACCCCCCGAGAACACGAGCGTGTGTGTCAGCCTTGCCCGGAGGCCTCGGCTCCGTCCAACCAGCCGCCCCGTTCCCAGAGAATCGCAAGGGGTCGGTCGGGGCGGCATTCGAGCCCCGGGCAGACCCGGGCATCCTGCAGCCACGGCCCCGCCCACCCCCTCCCTACCCAATTTCGGGAGCGCTGGCCCGTTCGCGCAGGAACGAACGCTCAGCCGCACTCCGGGCGCCCCGCGCACGTCTTGGCTCCGCTCCGCTCCCCTTCCTCCCCTTCCCTGCCCTTCCCTTCAGCCCGTCGCACTGCCCTCCGTCAGACCAGCCAGCGAGCCAACTCCTCCGCCGCCAACACTCTCAGGGGAGGCGGGGTCGGCTCTGCGCAGCGCGGCGCGGCGCGTCCTCCGTCACCCCGTCACGTCAGCAGGCCGAGCGGAAAAGCAGAGGCGAGCTCGCCCCGCCGCCCGCAGCTCGGTCTGCAAAGCGGGGGCCTTGGGGCGGAGGGGCGGGCCATCGCCCTTGGCCCCGCCCCCACGCCCAGAGGCCCCGCCCCGTCACAGATGATCACGCCTTGTCGCCTCTTCTCCGGCTCCGCCTGCACCCCCCCAAAAAAAGAAGTCTCGATGTTTCGAGAAGCTGTTGCCTCCGAGCGCCTGTTACACCCGGTTATTTCCAAAGTTACAGCCAGACTTCTGACCTCGCTGGCATGTGACGGTGACCTAAAACGTACCCAGCTCCCCGAGATAATCACAGGCATCCGGCCCCGCCCACGCCCTGCTCATCCTCCGACTCTCCCCCCACCCCGCCTGACTCCCGACCGTCTCCGAAGGGAGCCGAAGCACGTGGCCCCGCCCACACCGCGCGGCGTGGGTGGGGGGTGAGCCCGCCTGGTGCGTAAACGGAAGACTTGAGACACCGATTATCTCCGAATCACGCCGAAGCGTGCGGCCCCGCCCACATCCGGCCGAGTTCGTGCACTGATCTAATTCCGAACCCATCCCCCCCCGATTTCAGAACCCGACTGTCTCCGAAGCCAGCCGAAGGAAGCCTGGTGGCCCCGACCTCGGCGCCGTCCGCTCGAACGACCGAGGGTGCCCGAAGGAACCCGAGGCTGAGGGCCCGCCTCTTTCCGAACGCCGCGCTCCAGGTCCCACTCCCTTCTCACGTCTCAACCCGTTTCCTCGGGGACTCGGAGCCTTGGCCCCGCCTCTCCGACTCGAAACCCCGCCCCTCTTCACGTACTGGCAGCTCTTTGCCCCGGGGCCTCCCAGAAAGAACGCGGCCGGCATCATCGTGCGGCGCCCCGGTGTGGACTGGGTTCTCTTCCTACGGGGCCGTATCCTGCCCCGTACTGCAGCCGGTCTCTGGCCCGAGACCGCGCAGCCCTTGCGGGATCCAGCAGTGCGGGGGCGTGCTGAGCCGGGGAGGCGTGGCCCGAGCAGAGGCGGTGGCCGAAGAGGGCTTCTCCGCAGCCTCCCGGCCCCGCGGACGGTTCAGGTGAGCCCGGGGTGGACTTGTACGGAGGCATCGCTGAAGATCGTAGGGCGGCGGGGTGCGGGATCAGCGACCGGAGCGTGGCCCGGCTGGGTGGCGTAACTGCCTGTGGATCTGCTGGGGGCGGGATCGGATCCACGCTGGGCTGCGCGGGGCCGGGCTACGGAGGGAAGCTGCAGCTCAGACGGGGTCGGTCATTGCCTTCTCTCCGGGGTCTGGGTTGGAGAGGAGGCCAGGGGCTCTGAAGACATGTGGGTGCTAAATGCTGGATCCCTCCGGGCTGCATGAGGGTGGGAGTCTCGGGTTCTTGGGTCCTTTGAGACGTAGGGGAGACTGGGGATCAAGACAGGATTCTAAAGGGTTCCTGTGTACTCAGAGGAGGGTGGGGGTGAGGTGGGTACCTGGGCTAAAAGAGAAGAAGGGTTCTGCAAAGGATTGTTTTCCGGGCCGGAAGTTGTCTAGGTGACTGTGTCTTAAATGGGGGGTAGAAGTACTTTTGGTTTGTACATTGGCAGAGGGTTGGGGTAGAGGGGGCTCGACTCCTGGGTCCTGGAAGGAGGAGCGAGCTGGAGGCCTGGGTTCTCAAAAAGTAGAGGGTTCTGTTATCCTCTGGGGTACTGGGGTACTGGTTCTCACTGTGAGCCTTTCCTCCCCCCCAGACCATGACACCCGAAGAATGGACATATCTAGTGGTCCTCCTTATCTCCATCCCCATCGGCTTCCTCTTTAAGAAAGCTGGTGAGTCAGGTTCCCTGCCCAGTGGAAAATTAGGGTGAGGGAGGTGACATGGGGCATCGCCCCTCGCGAAGGTCCTATGCTTATACTTCACCTTTTCCTTTCAGGACCTGGGCTGAAGAGATGGGGGGCAGCAGCTGTGGGCCTGGGGCTCACCTTATTCACCTGTGGCCCCCACACTTTGCATTCTCTGATTACCATCTTGGGAACCTGGGCCCTCATTCAGGCCCAGCCCTGGTGAGAACTAAAGAAAAGAGGATGCAGGGGATACAGCAGCCAACCTGTTTCCTCTTTGGGCCTTCCATTTCTTGTCCTTCAGCCTTTTCTGCTGCCTCTTGTTTATCTTAACGTTTCTCTGTGCCTTGGCCATGTTTCTTCCTCTCCTACCTTGTTGTGTACTCTTGTCTCTGCGTATCCACCCCAGTCCTCAATATATCCACGTGCCGGTCATTCCTAACCCCGTCGTCTTGAGCTCTGGCTCTTGCAGAAGACTTAGCGATCCTTCTTCACACCAAAAAAAGCTTCAGCGTTAACTCCCCTCATCCCTGGCTGTGCCTCTTCTGTCGCTGCCACCCACCTGTCCTCTCTCCTCTTGTCTGTCTGAATCAGGGGTGGGGTCGGGCATAAAGTCTCGCTTGGGAGAAGGAAGCGGAGGCTCAGGTCCCTGCACCCAGCGTTATAACTTCCCACCTCTGTCCTAGCTCCTGTCATGCCCTGGCTCTTGCATGGACCTTCTCCTATCTCCTCTTCTTCCGAGCCCTCAGCCTGCTGGGCCTGCCCACTCCCACGCCCTTCACCAATGCGGTCCAGCTGCTGTTGACACTGAAGGTGAGGCTTGGGAAACACTATTCCCTCTTCCTGTCCTGAGAGTCCCTGGGGACAGAGCTCACCTCTCACTTACTCTGTAGAAGGTCTTCACCTTTCCGCTCATTCCAGGGTAAGGAGATATCCCAAGTGCTCTGTCACAAGCCACTTGGCACACCTGGAATATGCCTGCCCAGCATGCTTTGCCAGCATGCTTGTCTTGAGTCTGTAGCTAACCATCCTCCAAGGAGGAGGAAATAGCCCTGTGGAGAAAAGGTATCTGGCCCAAGGGCATAGCAGGGACTACCAGGTCTCATTTTGTTGTTTTGTTCTTAAGAAGGAGTCTCTTGTAGTCTCAGAAAAAAAAATGACTTTGAACATTTTCCCCCCTGGGTCTTTTGAGACAGGGTTTCTCTGTGTAGTCCTGGCTGTCCTGGATATGTAGACCTCGAACTCCTCCTCCCAAGTGCTGGGATTAAAGGCGTGTGCCACCACCACCTGGCAAGTCTGACTCTTAATCACCTAGGAAGAGGGCAAAGAGAGACTGGTCCTCAATTCCCATCCCAGACCACAATAGTGGTGAGCTCTTTCTGTGTTCCGGGCTCCAGCAACACAGGTCCGGACAGTCCTGCCAGGTTGTTTTCTCTAGAGTTCTTTGTTTTATGGCAAACTCAGCAGTGGGCAGTGATTGGTCAGCTATGAGTTGGAAGAAGAGCCTTTCAGGGTGCATGTAAACCTACACGTGTAGATAGGAATGTGGTGGGTGCCATGTTCACTTTCTGAATATCGTGCAATTGAATGGGCAGCAGAAGCCAGGCCGCAAAGGGCTCTGTTGGCTGTGATGAATATGGAACTCACTCCTAAATGAGACTGACATCCATCAGGAAGAAAGTTTTTCATTTTGTTTATATCATTTTGGTTTGTTGGCCAGGAGACTGGGATACAACAAATTTGCCTCTTCGATAATAAGTAGAATGGAATGAGAGGAGATAGGACCCTTTTATCAAAGTCAAGTGTGGGGGTTCATGGACATAATCCTAGCATTTAAAAACAAAACAAAAAAAAAAACCAAGCTGAGCATGGTGGCACATGCTTTTAATTCCAGGGAGGCAGATCTCCGAATTAAAGGCAGCTGGTGTATATAGAAGATTCCAGAACAGCCAGGGACATTTAGAGATAACCTGTCTCCAAAAATTAAAACACCCTTCCCCTCAAAAAGAAAAACAGGCTGGAAAGAGGGCTCCGTGGTAGAGAGTGCCGCTCTTGCAGAGGACCTGAGTTCAGATCCTGGCATCTAGACTGGGCGGCTCGAAAACAGCAGTAACACCAGCTCTAGGAGATATGACACCCTCTTCTGGCCTTTGGGCATCTGTGCACTCAAGCTGTATACACAGAGGCACAGAAATAAAAATATATTTTAAAGACAAAAAAGCTAGTGTGTTGGTGCACACCTTTAATACCAGCACTCAGGTGAAGGCAGAAGGAGGAGGAGTTTAGGATCATCCTTAGCTACACAGAGAGTTGCTTTGAGGATAGTTTGAGAAGTTTGACTTTTTTCTTTGTTTTGTTTTTGACGGTGGTTTGAAGAGGAGATAGTTTGTCAAACGAAAAACCAAAAACAACAACAACAAGAAACTTGGACCAGTAGCTGGGTCAGGGAAAGAATTACATGTCGTGGAGCCTAGAAGGGAAAAGTGCTTTTTAGAGCCCCTTCTTCCCCTTTGAAACCACCTAGTAGGGGAAGCCCTGCTTTACTCTCTTGCCTCTCTCTGACTCCTGGGGCCCTGTCCACGGAGCCTAGCAGGAAGCAGGAGGACACAGATGTGGCCATAGGAGTTTTGTCTATGGCTAAAATAGGTAGAGTATATCCAGAAGGGCAGTTGGGACATCTTCATCCCCAACCCCTACCCAGTGAAGTCAGAAAGGAACAAGCTTGGGGATAGAGAGATGGGGCTCCGCGGTTAAGAGCACTGACAACTCTTCCAGAGGACCCGGGTTCATTCCCCAGCACTCACATTGGCAGCTCACAACTGTGTGAACTCCAGTGCCAGGGGACCCACCAACGCCCATGGCAAAAACAGCAATGCACATAAAATATAAATAAGTAAGAGTGGAACAAGCTTGGCCTAGTAACGCGGTTATATTGTCTCAGCTCTCCAGGAGGCAAGCTTGGAGGATCACAAGTTCAAGGCCAGCCTAAACAGCTTAGCATGACCTTGTTTCAAGATTTAAAGGTGGGGGAGGGGAGAAGGGACTTGAGATGTGGCTCAGTTTTAGAGCACTTGGCTAGCATATGCAGGGCCATGTGTCAGAGCCTCTAGTACTGAGCCCTGGGGGGTGGCCACCAATTAGAGGTTCCTTCCACACTCTGCATATGTATACCATCCATCCCTAGCTTTAGGCTGAAGTGAAATGGTTGTGAGGATGGCCGCCTCAGGGCACTGATCGGGGCCTCCCTCTGTCTTCCCACAGCTGGTGAGTCTGGCCAGTGAAGTCCAGGACCTGCATCTGGCTCAGAGAAAGGAAATCGCCTCCGGCTTCAGCAAGGAGCCTACCTTGGGCCTCCTGCCAGATGTCCCCTCTTTGATAGAGACACTTAGCTACAGCTACTGCTATGTGGGAATCATGACAGGTAAGTGGCCCGCCCAGCACTGCTGGGTCACCTTCTGCCTCACTCCACCAGAGTTCTGTTCCTATTTATGTCCCCTGCTCTGTCCCAGACTACCTGTCTTCTGTCAGCTGCTGTCCTGTCCTGAGCATATCTGTCTACTGTGGGAACGAACCAACCCTAGAGGATTGCTTCGTCTTCGTCTATTAGGAGGCCGATGGGTGGAGCTAAAGGAGATATGCCTGTAAGCCAGGGGTTTCTTGTAGCTGGAAGGTTTCTTGTCCCGCCAGGTTCTGCCACTATTTAGCCCCAAATAAACACAGGGACACTGTATTAATTATAAAACTGTTGGGTCAATGGCTAGGGCTTCTTACTGGCTAGCTCTGTCTTAATTATTAGCCCATAACTACTAGTCTATGTATTTCTACATGGCCTTATCTTACCAGAGAACGCCTGGCACATCCTAACCGCCTGGTCTCTACAGGACATCCCTCTGGCGGCTTTTCTCTGCCTCCCAGAATTCTCCTTGTCTCTATTGGCCAGCGTTTTATTCATCAACCAATAAGAGAAACATATACAGAAGGACATCCCCCATCAGTGCCCACCATCCAGGGGACAAATATTTGCAGCTCAGGATCTCTCAGTTTCAGAAACAGAAAAATATATATATATGTATATGTATACATATATATATATATTTTTTTTTGGCAGAGGATTGGGGCCACTGTATTAAACATTGAACCTGGGACCTTGTACATGCCAGGCAAATGATCAAGTGTGGAGTTATATCCCCAGCCTTTTGGCTTTACCTTAGACGAGGACTCACTGTGTAGCCCAGGCTATTCTAAAACTCTCTGTGTAGCAGGATAGCCTCCAACTCACAGAGATCTGCGTTCCTCTGCCTCCCGAGTTAGATGAGGGCTCTGTATGTTTCCTAGACAGGCCTTGAACCTTTGATTGCCCTACCTCATCTTCCTGGGTAGGTGACATGGCAGGTATGTACCACCTGACATGAATCAGAATGTCAGGGTTTATTTGGTGCTAGGGACTGAACCCAGGGCCTTGTACATGCTAAGCAAGTTCTCTACCAGCTGAGCTACGTCTCCAGACCTACCTCATAGGTTTTGCTTTGTTCCTGTGTTTTTAATTTTTGGTTTGGTTTGTTTTGAGGGGGGGTTGTTTGTTTGTTTGCTTGTTTTTGCAGCAAGGTTTCTTTGTATAACAGCCCTAGCTGTCCTGGATCTCATTTTGTAGACCAGGCCGGCCTTATGACGCTGCTATTTACGTATGCATCCACTTAAAGTACTCCAACTCACTGGCTTTTATATATCCATAGAGCTGCGAAACCTTCACCAGAGCGCACTTGTTTGCAGGACAGCCTCCTTTCTGAAAAGGAACCACCCAACCTTTAGTCACCAACACCAAACCTCCTCCGTCCCTGACTGACACCGTTGACTTTTTCCTATAAAGACGTTTCACATAAACCGAGTCCCATGCTCGCGGTTTGTGGTGGACATACAAGGGCTTCAGCGCCCATCCTGCAAGTCCCCACTGGTGTTCTCTGGGCCAAACCCCATTGTACCTCAGGAACCTCGACTATCCTGCCCCTGCTTTTCCCCCTCCACCACCCAAGCCCGCTCAGCACCCAGAGGGGGCTGATGAAAAGTGGAAGCCAGGGAAATCTGCAGTGGCTTCCTGGCCTGCTCATCTATCCCCTCCCCTCCCCTTCAGGGTACTTTCTCCTCTCCCGTCAGCCCTTGTTCCTGAGTTCTCTAGGTTTCTCCCCTTTCTCTGTGGTTTTGAGCCTCTCCCTCCCTGTTCACAGACCTCCTGTCCTCAACAACTCCTCTTCCTCCCCTTCCCCCCCCTTCCCTTCTCTCCATCCTCCTCCTTCCACCTCCCATTTCCCCAGGAGACACAGATGGTACCCAGCCTCCAACCACCTGACCCTTGCCACCCTTCACAGGCCCATTCTTCCGCTACCGCACCTACCTGGATTGGCTGGAACAGCCCTTCCCGGGAGCCGTGCCCAGCCTGAGGCCCCTGCTGCGCCGCGCCTGGCCGGCCCCGCTCTTTGGCCTGCTCTTCCTGCTGTCCTCCCATCTCTTCCCGCTGGAAGCTGTGCGTGAGGACGCCTTCTACGCCCGCCCGCTGCCCACCCGCCTCTTCTACATGATCCCGGTCTTCTTCGCCTTTCGCATGCGCTTCTACGTGGCCTGGATTGCGGCCGAATGCGGTTGCATTGCCGCGGGCTTCGGGGCCTACCCCGTGGCTGCCAAAGCCCGGGCCGGGGGTGGCCCCACCCTCCAATGCCCAACCCCCAGCAGGTCAGGCGGCGGGAGGGAGGCTTCCCAAGACCCAGCAGGCCCCACCACCAAGGGTTGGCTCTGCCCCTAGTAGGGAGGAGAGCAGGGAGCAGGGTGTAGGGCTACCAGCTGTGGTTGACAGCCTGTTGCCCCCCTGGTGACTATCATCTGCCTTCCCTGGCCGCTAGGGAAACCATGTGTTCCTGGTACCTACAGATTGCCCCTTGTTGCTAGCACTTGTTACCCCTCAGTATGGCTAATTGCCCTCTATTGCTAGGCAAAGGGAAACGGTATCATAGCAACCACATGCCTACCCTGTGTTGCCATGGAAGTGTCACCGCCCCCCCCCCCAAAACCAGGTCATTCCTGGTTGCTGGGGATACTGTCATTTGGTAGCAGTGGGTCTACCTTCTGTTGCTAGGGAAACGGTTCCTTAGCAACTGAACTGCCCCTCTGCTGAGGAAGCTATATCCCTAGCAACCATGGCTCCTCCCTTCTTGCTGATAGCCTCGCTGTGTGTGCCTGTCTTGCTGAGAGCCAGCAGCCCATCATGGGATGTCCCCACAGAGCACCTTCCCAGTTGCCCTGTTTCTAAGGAAGTAGCATCCTCCAGCAGCCACGGGTCCATCTCCCCAGTGCTGAGGCTGAACCCTCTACTAGTAAGGCTACCCCACCACCCGCAGCACCATCATAGAGGGCGAGCCACAGAACTAGTCCCTGCGGGGCTCCTTCAGGTGCTTAGGAAGTACCACTTCCTTGTTGAAAGGAAAGTGGCATCCCTTGCAACCAGTAATGAACCAAATCCCGGTCTCTAGAGTCCATTGTCATCCTTCCAACCGGGGGATGGGGTGGCACCCATCCCCCAGTTGTATCAAACTGCCATCCTGGTGGGGGTAGGGACACCTCCAGGATGTGATTTACCACCACTGCCCGAGTGGCTGTGGGTGCACCTCATGCGGCTGGAGCGTGGGTGTTCTGCGGAGATGCGATGCTGTTTTAAGTCTGCAAGTCCCACTGGTGAAGGATACCTTCCCTCCCAAGTCCAGGAGCCACTGCAGGTTCACGTAGGCCCAGCATCTTTCTCTGTAGCCGATATCAATCAGTGGTGTCGGGAGCCTGGAAACCTCTGTTATTTCTGGAGGTGGCACTTCTCGAACAATCACAGGGACCAGGCAATAGGCCTGTTCTGAAAGATTTTTCTGAACAGCCTGGACCTTGTTGCTAAGGAATGCCTCTTCCCTAGCAACGGAGATCATTGAGAGTCACAAGGCCTAGAATATCTCCCTGGCAACCACGAACCACCTTTTTAGAGTGGATACTTCCCTGGCAGCTGCCTGGCCCCCACAGTTCAGGAGGGACCACGCTTGGAAACTATTCCCAACATACTGAGCTTGGTTGCCAGTGGACTCGATAGCTTAGCAACCATAGCCTTCCAAGGCTGTTTGTGGCTTTATCAGGCGGGCCCTATTAGTTACCAAGAGCACCCCACTATTAGTGAACTGTGCCCCACCCACCTGACCCCTTCTGGCCTATCCTCCTCCCCATTACCCTTGAAAGTTACAGCCAGAGAGAGAGAGGGAGCCAGGGAGCCTTCTCCTGTCCAGAACCCTTTCTTTAGCATCGGGCTGGGACAGCAGCAGGTGTCAGGAGGGGCCTGGCTGAGCTGCATGTCTGTCCCCATCCTCATCCTCCACCTCCCCCAGTCCGGAGAACGCAGCTTCCCTGGAGTATGACTATGAGACCGTCCGTAACATCGACTGCTATAGCACAGACTTCTGCGTGCGGGTGCGGGATGGCATGCGGTACTGGAACATGACGGTGCAGTGGTGGCTGGCGCAGTACATCTACAAGAGCGCACCTTTCCGCTCCTACGTTCTGAGGTGAGGGACCGCCACTGAGTATCAGAGACAGTGCAGAATTTCATCTCCCAAGAGGTCCTGTGCTAGTCAGGGGCTTCTCTAGCTGAGCCCCTAGCCCCAAGGTTCATGGGAGTTGTAGTTCTTGAGCCTGCTATGGTTAAACCCTCTGGACCTAAGGTCAGCATCATTCAACAGTGTAGTCATTCTGGGTCCCAGAGATTTAACTCTGGTCATCAGACTACAGGGCCTTTTACCCACTGGGCTGTTTTGACAGTTGTTGGTTCTCAGGCAAAGTCGCATGTAGGCCAGGCTGACCTTAATCTGAATTGGTACCCAACCATGACCTAGAATCCTGATCTTCCTGGCTCTGTCTTCCTGGAGTAGGTGTGCACTGCTATGCCTGGCTTCTTGCTTGGACTGTTTTGTTTTGTTCTTGAGATAAGGTCTCACTCCACAGCCCTGGCTGTTCTGGACTTGTTATATAAACCAGACTGGTCTCAAACTTCAGCTATCCTCCTGCCTCAGCTCCCTCAGTTTTGGGATTACAGGTTTGTACCACCTTACCTGGACAACTTTTTTTTTTTTTTTTTTTTTTTTAACTGTTTCTTTTCCATCCACCTTCTTCAGTTGTTGCTCTCATGTCTGCAGAACAGCTCTTGGCCATCCGGTGGTGGCTTCAACCCCTTCAGTGGCCTGAGCAGTGGGAGCTGCAGACCAGTCCTCAGTCTCTAGCTTTTAAATTGTTTCCATTCTTCCTGTTTTTTGTCTGTTGGCACCGCAAACGCTCAGCCTTTTCCGAACTGCCAGATGTGATCAGTGGGCACAGAGTTAGCACCTCCTGATAAGTAGTTAATGGTGGCAGCTAGATTTCCCTGGGCATCATGGGAACTATGGTTTAAAGATCCAGCCTGAGGGGCTGGAAAGGTGACTCCAGTGGTTAAGATTTTTGTTGCTGTTGGAGAGGGCCCTGGTTCCGTTCCCAGCACCCACATCCAATTTACTGCCACCAGTAACTCCAGCTCCTGGGGATCCAACACTCTGTGTTAACCTCCATAGGCTCTCACTGCCCTCACATGCATAACCCCCACCACACACACACACACACACACACACACACACACACACACACACACACACACTTAAAAAGAAATTTTTAAGCTAAGCCAGGCAGTGGTGGTGCACGCCTTTAGTCCCAGCACTTGGGAGGCAGAGGCAGGTGGATCTCTGTGAGTTCGAGATCAGTGTGGTCTACAGAGTGAGTTCCAGGACAGTCAAGGCTACACAGAGAAACCCTATCTCCAAAAGAAAAAAAAAAAAAAGATTCACTCTGAATCAGGCATAATAGCACACACCTGTAATGTCAGCACTCTGGAGGCTGAGGCAGGAAGTTTGACATCTTGGGCAACTTAGCGAAATCACATCTTAAAGAAACAAAGACGTGCTCTGTGTCTAACGTGCAAGGCCCCGGACTCCATCTCCAGCATCACACGCATGCACAGACAGACAGACAGACAGACAGACACAGACATGGAGAGGAGTCCCTCAACAGGCCTGATACTGGCTTTGGGAGGAAGAGCAGGGGCTTAGAGAGCCGAGCAGGAGCAGAGCAGAAATGAGCCTCGCTTCCCAGTACCCCACGGCTCAGCACAGAAAAGCCTTTCCAGAGAAGGGGGACGCCCGGCATGAGGAGCTGCTGGGACACGGGTGAGGAGGAAGACTTGAGTTTCATCTCACTAACGTGAAGACTATCGGATGTCACTGGACAGGCAGATGGTAATGTGATGCTGGCACTTAAGGGGAGAGGTGTTAGAAGTGGGCACCGAAGCCAACTGGAGCTGGGGTGAGGCCGGGCAGGAGGATTGTGAGCTCCAAGTCAGCCTAGATAACAAAGGGGCCAGTGAGGTGGCTTAACTGGAGAAAGTGCTTGCTGCCAAGCCTGGCCCTCTGCTCATCATCTCCAAGACACACATGGTAGAAGGAAGGACACAGCTGACTCTGCTGCCATAGTCTCTTGTCCCGCCGCCCTTCAGCCCCAAATAAACACACAGACACTATATTAGTTATGAAACTGTTGGGCAATAGCTAGCTAGGGATTCTTACTGACTAGCTCCATCTTAATTATTAACCCCTAACTACTAGTCTATGTATTTCTACATGGCCTTATCTTACCAGAGAACACCTGGAGTGTCCTCTTACAGGTGTCTACATGCTGCCTCCTCGAGATGCCTCTCTTCCCAGCATCCTCCTCGTCTCCTAGCCCCGCCTATCTTCCCGCTTCTACTGGCCAAGCAGTGTCTTATTCATCAACCAATGAGAGAAACATCCCCCATCGCTGACTACAGCAAGATGTTCCTCTACGCGCTACTCATGCTTCATGATACACAAGAGTACATGCATGCACACATAAACACACACAAGTGTTACAGGGGTGTGGGCTGGGGATGTAGCTCACTGGTGGTGTTTGCAGGCAATGCTGTACATGTGTAGTAACACCACTGGCAAAGTGCAGGCAGGAGGATCAGGAGTCTGAGGTAAGACTGGGCTATGTGAGACCTTACCCTTTAAAAGAGGACGCTTGAGTGTAGCAGTTACAGATGATACTGTTAAAACCCTGGGGATCCCGGTCAAAGCCCAGTGCACCTCAGTATCTTGGTCACTTATTCTCAATTAGGGGTAATTGTGCTGTGCCCTCGGGGGACTTTTCTAGTTTCCAGGGCCCCAGGCATACCTGGCAAGTGCTCCACCACTGTCTTAATTAGGTTTTCTATTGCTGCAATAAGACCACGACCAGCTTGAGGGAAAGAAATGGTTTTACTTCAGCTTATAGTTATCATGGAGGGAAGTCGAGGCAGGGACCGAAGCAGACACAAACTTTGGAGGAGCGGTCCCTGTGGATTGCTCAGCTTCCACCCCCAGGACCACCTACCCATAGTGGGCTAGGTTCTTCCACGCCGATCATTAATCAAGAAAACGCCCCACAGATGTGTATAGGCTGATTTGATGCGGGTATTTTCTCCATTGAGATTCCCTCTTCCCAGGCGACTCTAACAGGAGAACCACTAAACCGTGCCCCATGTCAGGAGCCTTTTTGTTTGTTTGTTTTAATGTTTGGTTTGGTTTGGTTTGGGTTTTTTGCTGTGGCTGAGAGATGTCCCTCTGCATCTCTGGGCAGGGACACAGCAGGATTCATTTCTGGTTTCCCCCTCGCCTCTTGTCATAGTGCGATCATGGTTGTTCTGCACTGCACTATGCTGGTGTGTCAGAGACAAGTCCTTAACAGGGAAAGAACCCAGGAGTGTCTGCTTCTGCCACAACGGCTGGTCACTGCCCAGCTGGAAAATGGAGTAGAGGGCCTGAATTTGTGGGCTGAAAAGTTAGGGCAGTAAGGTGTGGAGAGGTGGCTGAATAGTTAGGAGCACTTGCTCCTGCAGAGGACCTGAATTTGGTTTCCCAACACCCACATGACAGCTCACAACAATCTGTAACTTCAGCTCCAGGGAGCCCTCTTCTGCACTCAAAGGGCATCAGGCATGCACATGGCACACAGACATGCACGCAGGCAAAAAACACCCATATACATTAAAAAAAATTAGAGAGAATTTAATCTTAGTAAGAGAGTGAACCAGACAGGCATGGTGGTGTCACACATCCTTTAATCCCAGCACTTGGAAGGCAGAGGCAAGCAGATCTCTTACAAGTTCAAGGCTACATAGTGAGACCCTGTCTCAAAAAAAACAAAAGAGAGAGAGAATCAAACATTAGGGTCCACCAAGGAGAAGTGGGCCATCCCTGACTAGTTTTTAAAATGTATTTGTTTTAATGTTTCATAACTGTTTTGCATGAGTGTGTGTATGTGTACCACACGCTTGCCTGGTGCCTAGGAAGGTGAGAAAGAGGGCAGTTGGGCCCCTGAGACTGGAGTTAAAGACTGTTGCGAGCCACCATGTGGATGCCAGGAATCGAACCTGAGTGTTTTGCATGAGCAAGACCCGTGTTCTCAACAGCTAGGCCAACTCTCCAGCTCCTCCTACACAGATGTATACAGTATGCCTGGTTTACCTACAGGGTGTCTCATGCAGGCGAGGGGATCCTACAATTTATATCTCCCATCCAAATACTAACCTAACCTGTCTCTGTTTAGCTTGTGATGAGATTAGTTTTGTTGTTGTTTTTAAATTTTACTTTTTGTACCCAGGTGTTAGTGGCACTCGGGAGGCAGAGGCAGGTGGATCCCTGTTCAAAGCCAGCCTGGTCCACAGAGTGGGTTCCAGGACAGCCAGAGCTACACAGAGAAACCCTGTCTCATAAAGTCAATTTTGGGGGAGAGGGGGGCAGTGGACACAGGGTTTCTCTGTGTCCCTTTATGTCTTGGGATTCTATTTGTAGACCAGGCTGATGTCAGACCCCCATAGATCTGCCAGTCTCTGCCTCCCAAATTCTGGAATTAAAGCTGTGTACCACCATGGCCAACAGATTTACTTGTTTTATTTTATGTGTATAAATATTTTGCTTACATGTATGTGTCTGCACCTTGTGTGTGCAGTGCCTATGGAAATCAGGAGGAGGCATCAGATCTCCTAGAACTGGATTTTCACATGGTTTTGAGCAGCCATGTGGATCTTTAGGTCCTCTGTAATAACAGCAAATATTCTTTACTGTTGAGCCTTATCTCCACCCCGTTTTTTTAGACGAAACTCCGGCTAGGCTGGAACTCACTATGAGATCACATTGGCCTCACACTCAAGAGATCTGCCTGCTTCTGCCTCCCGATCCCAAGTGCTAAGATTAAAGGCCTATGCTACCAGATGTAGTTTAGAGTATATAATTTGTTTGCTTGTTTGTTTCCCAACACAGGGTTTCCCTGTAGCTTTGGAGACTGCCCTGGAATTCAATCTGTAGACCAGGCTGGCCTTGAACTTACAGAGATCCACCTGTCTCTGCTTCTCAAGCACTGGGATTAAAGACATGGGCCACCACTGCCTGACCTAGAGTTTATATTTCTAACAATCCCCCCCAACCCCCATGCAGGTGCTTAACCAAGAATCATATAATGAGAACCACCGGGCTCACGAATTGCATTTCTTGGTTCTGAAGGAGGATCCTACAATATAAGACGTTGGGTCTTTATAGGAGGAAAGAGCCAGGGGTAGCCTCAATGGAATCTACAAGGGGACTAGGAGCTTGTTGATCACAGGAAAAGAAAACTCAAGGTTGTCTCAGTATGTTGGAGCTGGAGAGATGGCTCAGCAGTTAAGAGCACCCCTGCTGCTCTTCCAAAGGACCTGGGTTTGCTTCCGGGCACCCACGTGGCAGCTCACAACCATCTATAACTCCAGTTGCAGGGGATCTGATGCCTGCTTCTGGCTTCCTCAGACACTGGGCACTCATATGGTGTACACACATATATTTTAAAAATGTAGTTTAAAGAAGCTGTCTCAGGAGCCGGGCTGTGGTAGCACGCCTCTAATCCCAGCACTCAGGAGACAGAGGCAGGTGGATCTCTGAGTTCAAGGCCAGCCTGGTCTAAAGAGCAAGCTCCAGGGCAACCAGGACTACACAGAGAAACACTGTCTGGGTGGGGGGGAAGCTCCCTGAGGATGCTGGTGATGCAGCTTAAGTGGTTCATTATTGCCTGGTATGTGCAAAGCACTGGGGTTCCGTCCCCAGGAACAAATAAAAACCTCAACACCCCCTTGACTTTCAGGAGGCAGGAAGGAGGAGTGGGCCTAAGCGCCACACTCTGAGGAGGAGGGCGTGAGACAGGGACGACCCAAGCCTGGTCACCTGTGTCCTGACTCACATCTCTTTCTCCAGGAGCGCCTGGACTATGTTGTTGAGCGCCTACTGGCATGGCCTCCATCCTGGCTACTACCTAAGCTTCATGACCATCCCGCTGTGCCTGGCCGCTGAGGGCTATTTGGAGTCAGCCTTGCGGAGACATCTGAGCCCCAGGGGCCAGCAAGCCTGGGACTGGGTGCACTGGTTCCTGAAGATGCGTGCCTACGACTACATGTGCATGGGCTTTGTCCTCCTTTCCATGGGTGACACACTCCGGTACTGGGCCTCCATCTACTACTGGATCCACTTTCTAGCCCTGGCCTGCCTGGGGCTGGGGCTAGCTTTGGGTGGGGGCAGCCCCAGCAAGAGGAAGACAGCATCCCAGGCCACCGTCAGCCAAGCCAGGGAAAAGCTCCGGGAAGAGTGAGGGAGCTGTGCTGTGCTGGCCTCCCAGCAGGCCACCTCAGGCTTTGTTTGGGAATTCCGTGAACCAGGCTATGTTCTCCTTTACCCAGCAAGCATCCTTGTTTGGCTAGGAGCCTGGAGAGGATTCCTTCTTCCCAGCTAACCCCCTGCCTCTGACTTAAAGCTAGAGGTACCCTTCTCCCAGGTGCTCACCGCATTCTGATTTTTCCTTTTCCAAACCTCCCTCTGCTGACGTCAGGGTATTACTGTCCACTCTGGTCCCTGTCTCTCCAGCAGTCTTCAGGTATTCAAAAGTGCCACTCTTCCCAGAATGCAAGGGCAAGGCAAGGGCCAGTGGTCATGTGGCATCTTGGACAAGGTCCCAGTGGGTTCCCAGTATTGGGGTAAGAGCCTCAGGGCCAGGTTCTGGGAAAGGGGAGGAACATCCTTCCTGTTTTATTCTTGGCTTTTATCATCAAATCAGTATTTCAGCGACCATGATCTTACACACCCTGAAGGAGAAAAACCGAGGTGTAAGTAAGCAGCCCCAGGGGAACATGCTCCTACAGTAGCTTCTGTCCGAGCCGTTTCTGGACCTCCACACAACCCGCCACCCAGTGTCATCCTTGGCCTGTGACAGGTCAGAATGTGTAAATCTTCCCCAATAAAGTGTTACACGTGCATCTGTTTGTGAGTGTATCTGTGGGCCACAAGGTACACTTGGCCCAGATTGCCTGTGTGGTGTACCAAGCAGGGCTCCCCGCTGCCGTGAAATTCTGCAATCTTAAAGGCTGTGAGGACTTCAACTCCCAGGACACCTTTTAAAGCAGAGGCCTGGCTCTATAGGAAGTGTACCGCAGTCACCTCAGGCCCCTAGTGGCCAGGTACATCCCCGCCTCAGGCCCCTCCCTCACCCTGGACAGTCCCCGCCCTGGGGGCCTCTAGAGACGGAAACAGCAGGTGCAAAGAGTCCATCTACAAACATGGACGAGTGTCCCAGGGAAGCCTGGGGCCAGTCCAGGGACTGGTTTAGCTCCCGGAAGTCAAGAACAGGTAGGAATGAGTCCTGAGAAGTCAGGTCCATCCACCAGGGAAAGAAGGAGCTGGGTTCCTGAAACAGCAGGAGATTTCAGAAACTCAGAAACCCTGAAGAGGAGCCTGGCAGATACCTAGAGTGTTGGAGGAGAGAGTCGGGCCCCAGTATCAGGCACAGGAAGGGCCGAGGTTCCAAACTCCGCAGTAAGGAAACAGGAAGTTGAAGTTCGGGCTCACACTTCATGTGGGAGAGATCTGGGGGGGGGGGTCACACTTGGGAACCTTAGTGGGAGAGTCTAGGGGTGTGGATGTCTGAGCCTGAGGTTTTGAAACGGTATGAGGAAGGCCAGAGCCTGGTCCTCTGGGGAAGAGGGATAAGAGATAGGACCTTGAATCCCCAGGTTGAGGGAGAAAAGATGGAATCTATAGTCCTGAGAGAAGAGAACCTGAATCTAGCTAGACTCCCGGGTCCAAGGGAGCTGGACTGAGACCTGGGGTCCTAGATCTGAAGGAAGAGGCTGGGGACTGCTCTCCTTAGTCTGAGGGAGGGAGGCAGAGGCCTGGACTCCTCGGTCTGAGGGAGGAGGCTGGCCTTGGGCTCCTGTATCTGAGAGAGGAAGGAGGCTGGGGCCTGGACTCATCAGTCTGAGGGAAGAGGGCTTTGCCTGGATTCTGGGTCTGAGGGAAAAGGATTGTAGCCTAGACTCTGCTTGTCTGCCGATCCTTCTGTTTCCGCGGCCAGGCCCATCACTGGCCTCTGTGCTGAATGACCTCCCAAGCGCTGCCACTCTTCGATACCGTGGCCCTGGTGTGCTCCCCTGGGGGACACATGAGGATGAGGATGGAGCAAGGAATCTTCCGGCCCTTGCAGAAACCGCCCAAATGGAATCTCAACCTCCCCGGGAACTTCCCTGGCCTATGCAGGCAAGGCGGGAACACAGGTGAGGGCCTCTTCTCTGACGCCTCCTTCTCACAAGTAACTTCCTGGTTTCAGCAGCTTCTTTTCTTTATTGCCTTGCCACTAATGAGGCTAAGGTTTGCCCTGGCTTGTTCTGAACTTTGTGTTAGAGAATCAGGAAGACTTGTTGTTGGTTTTCAAGGTGTAGCCTTGAACTGTCCTGGAACTTGCTCTATAGACCAGGCTGGTCTCACAGAGATCAGCTTACCTCTGCCTCCTGAGTACTGGGATTAAAGGCATGCGCCTCCACTGCAGGCTGAGAATCAGGAAGACTTAATCATTCATCTTTCTTTTTTAAAATTAATTTAGAAGCAATCTTACTTTGCATATAAATCCCAGTTCCCTCTCCCTCCCATCCTCTCACACTCCCCACCAACCCCCCCTCATCCCACCCCACATCCACTCCCCAGGGAGGGAGGGTAGGACCTTCCATGGGGGATCATCAAAGTCTGTCACATCATTTGGGTCAGGACCTAGGTCCTCCCTGTGTATCTAGGCTGAGAGAGTGTCCCCTCCCTCCATAGGGAACGGGCTCCCAAAGTCCATTAAATACTGGTTCCACTGTCACAGGTCCCATAGACTGCCCAGGCCTCCTAACTGGCACCCACATTCAGAGGGCTTGGTTTGGTCCAATGCTGGCTCTCCGGCTTTACATTATACAACTTTTGTGTTTTGGTTTTGTTTTGTTTTGTTTTGTTTATTTTAAACAGGGTTTCTCTGTAGCTTTGGAGCCTGCCCTGGAACTCACTCTGTAGACCAGGCTGGCCTCGAACTCGCAGAGATCTGCCTGCCTCTGCCTCCCAAGTGCTGGGTTCAAAGGCGTGCGCCGCCACCGCCTGGCCTTGTTCTTTCTTCTTCACATTTTGGTGAGTGTGCCCCTTATGGCATGTGCCTGGCTGTCTGTGGAGTTCCAAGGACAGATGGCAGCAGTCAGTTCTTCCCCTCTACCCTGTGGGTCTCAGGGATCAGACACAAGTTTTGAGTTGGTCACAATTGCCCTTGGTTGCTGAGCTGGTTGCACCAGCCATTTTGTCTGGTCTTGTTGAGGCAGGGTCTCACTGTAACCCAGGCTGGCCTGAAATCACTATTCACCCCAAGCTGACCTGGAGCTTGCACTAGTCCCTCTCCAAGGGGACTTCAAGCATGCACGGTGCACCACACCTGACCCCTTGCTTTCCTTTCAAAGGCATGCCACTCACGGGCCAGCCCAGCCTGTCCTGGGTCTCTCAGTCCCCCTGCCTCAGCCTCACTACTGGTGGGATCGCGAGGGTACACCACCGTACGTGCATGCTTCTGCTGATATTTTGTGCCCGGCTTCCTACACACAGAGTACATTTGTTTTAATTGCTACAGAGCATTCCACTCCGTGGATGCAGTGCACCACAATCGCTGTCTCCGTCTCTGGCTGGTTCCCACTCGGCAGTTTCCAAGCCCTTCATTCTCTGACTCTCCTTTCTTTCCAGGAAGAGCCAGGCTAGGGAGCAGGTGGCCTCTGGCTCTGGATCTAAGGCTGCCCAGTGGACCCGGCAGCTTTCCAGGACCAAGGGGAAAATGAAAGAAGGCTTTCAAACTATACAGCCCTGGACATGGACGCTGAAGAAGATTGGGGGTGTGGCCCGCTTTAAAGGATGAGGGCTGGGGCCTGGACCGCTGGGGTCTGAGGAAGGAAGGCTGGGGTCTGATGGACCAGACTGAGGAGCGGAGGATGGGGTGGAGACTACCCCTGGGCCTTAGGGAAGAGGGCTGGGGGCCAGGACCCAGTCTGGACTGTCCTGAGATCTCAATGCTGCCCCCTGCAGGCCAGTTTGGAGCAGGCACTGAGTCGTACTTCTCCCTGCTGCGCTTTCTGCTCTTTCTCAACCTGGTGGCATCTGTGATTGAAGTCTGCATGAAGCTGATCCCCGCCTGGGTGGAAGGGGCTCCTCCAGGTCCCCCTAGCCCTAACATCTCCTCACCCTGTGGTTTCTATACCCCTCACACTCAGGGCCTGGTCACCTTCCCCACTCAGCTCTTCAACTTGCTCTCCGGAGAGGTAGGTGCCACAGTCCCTGGCTTCCTCAATGGCCTACGGGGCCAGGTCACCCAGCTCCCTGATCCTTGCCTCCACCCAGCCCCACAGTGACCCTTGCCCTGCCTCTCCCTCCATCCCCAGGGTTTCCTAGAATGGTCCCCTCTGTTCTATGGGTTCTACCCGCCCCGATCGATCCTGGCCGTCACCTACCTGTGCTCCGTCTTTGTCATCGGCCTCATCTACTTGCTGTTCATCCTACACCGGTTAGTGACACCCACATCCTGACTCTGATAGGAAGGGGAATCTGGAGGTGGTATAGAAGCACCCTCCTCCCCCCAGGGGTCATTTCCTCAGCATTGATATCTACTGCAAAGCCAGGTATGCAGGCTCAAGCTGGCAGTCTCCCGTCACTTGAGGCAGGATGCTTATTTTGAGTTCAAGGTCAGCCTGGACTACAGAGTAAGTTGAAGGCCATCCTGAGCTACACAGAAAGATCCTGTCTGCCTGCCTAAGTATGTGGTCCCACTCCTTTAATCCAAGCACTACAGAGACAGAGGCAGGCAGGAACTCTGAGGCCAGTGTGGTCTACAGACTGAGTCCCAGGACAGCCAGGGCTACATAGATTCTGTCTCTAAAAAAGGAAGAGACAGGCAGACGGGAAGGAAGGAAGGGAGGAAGGGAGGAAGGAGAGAGCAGCTTATCTAGTGGTACCCTTAGGCAGGACATTTAGACCCAGAAGTGCTGGCCACTACAAGAAATGGCCATGGACCAGCTGGTGGTGGCACCCCACCTCTAATCCCAGCACTTGGGAGGCAGAGGCAGGTGGATTTCTGTGAGTTCAAGGCCAGCCTGTTCTACAGAGTGAGTTCCCAGATGGCCAAAGCTACATAGAGAAACCCTGTCTTAAAAAAACAAACAAACAAAACAAAACAAAACAAGATACAGAGGCTGAGGAGATGGTTTGAGGGATAAAGTGTTTGTAGCAGAAGTCCAAAGGTGGAGATTTGGACCCCCCAAAACCCACAGAAGAGTTGAGTGTGTCAGCAACACATATCTGTAGCCCCCAGCACCGGGAGTTGGGGAAGGCAGCAGAGATAGGAGGATCCCAGGGGCTCACTGGCCAGCCAGGCGAGACTTCACCTGGAAAAAACAAAACGCAGGGTGATAGACACCTGGCATACACACACACACACAGACACGTATAAGTGTACCCATATATTCATGCATACACCACATGCATGCACACACATATTCCCAAGTGCACCCCTACACTCGTGCATACACTAAACTTACACACACACACACACATTCCCTAGTATTTGTATGTGTTGCTGGAAGTTCTTTCCTAGACAGGACCTGCCGCCCTCCTCAGCCCCAAATACGCACACAAAGACTTACTTTAATTATAAATTTGTTGGCTGGTGTCTTGGACTTCTTACTGGTTAGCTCTGTCTTAATTATTAACCCGTTTCTACTAATCTATGTATTTCCACGTGGTCTTGGCTTCCTGGACAGTGCCTGGACCTGTTGTTACTCCTCTATGGTCTACATGTCAACTCTCTCGGAGGCCTCTCTGCCTACTTTTCCCAGAATTCTCCCATACACTCATGCATACACCGCATACACACACTGATTCCCACGTGCACCTAAACAGACACACACAGCTTCCCAGCT